TGCCCTTGCTTTTTGTTGCTATGCATGGGTGTTGCGAGTCAAGGGCAATGCCCACGGAGGGGCAGGAGTGGAAGTTGAACAAGGGAAGGCACTCGAGTCTCTGTCTGGGTTCGGCATAGCCTGCTGGCAGGGATACATTGGCTCTTCTCTGCTGGGCTTAGGTTGTTGGCCTGGGTCGAGAGGATCCCCTTGTTGGCCCCATCTTTCGCTTGAACTTGGGATAAACACAGGGAACACTGGCCCTGGATCCTTGCGATTGCAACCTCGACCGGGATAGAGGCTTGTTTGTCAGTGCTGGTCCAGACTCGGATCGGTCTTGGCAAGTTCACAAACGGCAAGCCGGCAGGCTGCTTTGGCCAGGAACCACCCAGCAGATGCTCTCGCTCGACACCTCGGGCTGTTCGAGATGGCCGACCACAAAGAAGAAAGGGGAGAGATTGGCCGGGACTTGTTGGCAAAGTCTCTGATAATAGGAGTTGAAGTGATGACCCCTTTCCGGTGGCCTCTACCAATGGCCTAGTTGTATATCCATTGTCTAATAATAGGCGGGCAGCGGTACGTGCCGTGCTGATCTGGCGGCACAATACTTGAGACTACTCGACTGTTCGCTTCTTCGATATATACTTGGACACGTACGCCGCCTTCGCCTGGTTGAGCATTCACAGTCAGCACGTACGTCCACGACCGAGCCTGTACGCACACCCGTCGGTCAACTTCCATCTCTCCAGGCTCCTTGGATGTTGGATGCGAGTTGACCAGAAAGGGACATGCTTGCTTGCCTGCCTGCTTCGCCATGGGGCCATATGCATATCCCATCCGAACACGCGGTCTTTCAGCTCGCTGCATCTCCAGAGATCGTCCGAGGCGCGCATAGGGGGGAGAACCACAGCGGTCCTCGAGTCGAGGGATTTGATCTCCCATACGAACCTTCTGTCCATCCTCACGTCGGAGTTTCCCGTCCCAAGTGCCGCGATAATTCATGCGATCCAGCACTGCCGGGTACGAGGTCAAGCATTCTTCTCCACGGACGGCATCATTTTCAAGAGTGTACGCGGGTAAGGGTCCCTGGATTTTGTTTGTTTCTAAACTTATCACAACAGCCCCCATATGCACCCATCTCCATATACTCTGTTGCTTCACACTGTGTAGATGCTGGCACCTATGTTGATGGAGCTCGAGGATGAAGTACATATGTAGATCACGTTCTAGGTTGTCCCGTTTCACAAGTAAAGTTGGCATGGCCCCAGACACGCTGCGCCTCTTAATCCATTCAAGCAACCAACTTAGACAGCACACACACATACACACACACTTCTTTACTTCAAACAAGCACTGCCATCGTCTCAGGTCATGCAGACAGAAACAACCACGCCGGTATGCTTTTGTGGATGTGTAAGTGTGCCAAGAACGGAGAAGAGCCGATTCTCGGTCAAGCTGAGTGAGAGCCGTTCGTTGGTCTGTTGGGAGTTCTCAGCTGGACCCGCACCAACGCGTTTCGAGATACGAAGACCTGAAACAGGAGTTGGGGCTCCTCCAAACTGGCGATAACCTTCTCAGCATCTGCCCACTGCTCTCCTCCTTTCCTTGTTTCGAAGATCCATTCGATAGATTTTGGGATGGTGCCTCCATTAGTTCCTGTAGCCTTGTGATCCTCAATGCGCTCGAGCGAGAACCGGAGAGCAAATAAACTGGTCTCTTCAGTCCCCGCGCTGTGAGCATAAACCACCACTCCGTCCAATTCTACTCAAAACTCTCTCCGGATGTCATACACACACCACAATGCCCCAATATCCTATGACTCGGCCTCTCAAACCCTTCACCCGCCAGCCTGCATCCTACGTATCCGCTCCTCCGCGGCCCTCGCCCTGCGCTCCCGCTCAAGCCTCACCCGCTGCTCCGGCGTCAGGCCCCTCGCCTCCTCCTCCCGAGCCTCCCGCACCGTCTTGGGCAGCCCGCCGCCCAGCAGGCGCGGCCCTTTCCTCTTGCTGTCCACCGCCTTGGGCCCCTCTCGCGCGAGCCGCTCCTCCTCGGCCTTGCGCCTCTCGGCCTCCTTCTTCTCGGCCTCCTTGCGCTCGCGCTCCTCCCGGCGCTCAGCGTCCTCCCTCTTCAGCGCGGCCGGCACGCCCGCAGCGTCCCAGTCCCACCTGCTATCGCCCAGCTCGCTCCGCGCCACCCTGAATGCGTCTCGTGTCGCCCGCTCGCCGGCAAGCTCAAAAGCAGTCTTGCCCTCTGCGTTCTTGACTGTGGGGTCCGCGCCGCCTCGGGTGAGCAGGCCGCTCACGAGTGGTGCCGAATTTTGTGACGAAGCCAGGTGCAGTGGTGTCGGTGCGTGGTGGTTCGACTCGGCAGGGTAGAACCTGAAGTCGGTTGGGAGCTCGTTGCTCTTGAGGTAGGATAGTAGAGCAGGCAGTTTTGACCTGCGAATGAGTGCTTGTATCTGCGTAGTGTGTAGCATGGCAGTCTCTTCCTCCTCAGACAGCTTCGGGGCCACCGGTTTGGCCTTGGTGGGCGTCGGCTTTGAGACCGGTGCTTCAGCCTCGGGCTCTTGGGGTTTGATCTCCCGGACCTTGAGCCGGGTGAGCTCAATAAAGGACCTCATGAGCTCGTTCTGCGTAGCGCGGCGGGTGCTGAATGGGAAGCCTCGTATCCTGGAGTCGTTGGGCTTGATGACTTGGCCGTCGTAGGGACCGTAGATTGTCCGCCGGTTTGTCACACCGGTCGCACGGATGAAGAGCAGGTCTGAAGTATCTAGTAGCCCCTTCCAGTCGCTCAGGAGCTCCCGTACATCTTCTACCAGCGCCTGCTCGTTGTAACGACGAAGACTTGAACCGGCCGAGTGCGCCGCACCCTTGGCCGCATCGTTGGCCGACTGCGACCCTCCCTGTTTCCTTCTTGTGGTATACCGATGGAAAGTCTTGTGGGCCAGGACGGTCGCCTCTCGGCTGAGAGATACACCACCGTGCTTCATCTGGCGAGGAGCCAGAGACACCACCATTGCCGCGAAATGACCGCCTCCAATCATGCACAGGAAGATATGGCGACCCTCATAGGCGGCCGGTGCGATGCTCCCATCTTTCATGTGCTTGGGCGTAGCTATGGGAGCTAGTTGCTTTGCCTTGATCGCATCGACAATCTTGTCTTCCCGTCTCAGCTCGTTGCTGTCAAATATCGCCCGATACACGCCAAAATACGTGTGCTCCGGGAGAACTGAAGTGGCAAACCACATCAGTGGCGGCTTGCCGGAACCGCGTTTCTTCTTCTTGCCTGAACTGTCCTCGTCCTCGTCGTCGTCACCATCGTTGACCTGAGAATTCCTCTCGGCAAGATTTGCTTGCTTCTTGAGCAGTGCCGTCAGGGTCGTTTCCTTGCGCCCGCCCGCTGGCCCTTCATCTTCGTCATCGTCCGACTCTTCAGAGTCGGATCCGGAGAGCGATTCATCCAGATCGCCAATGAGTTTCTCAAATTCGTTTTCGGTCACGGGTTTGAATCCCCGTAGTTTCTGCTTGAGGTTGTAGTGGTGCCAGTCAGACTTGAGATGGCCTTTCTGGTCCAGGACTGAGCTGAACGACAAACCGCACAGCGAGCAGGACTGGGAGCCCACTGTATCGTCGGACGTTGGTGTCTGCGGCCTGTCCTCTGGCGTGAGCTCCACGGGGATTTCCTGCGTTTCGGCGTCCGTCTTGAGGACCAGAGTATCTAGCACTTCTGCTGGCAGATCGTAGAGGTAGAGCGGACGGCGCAAAAGCTCATCCTGGGGCCTGTCGCCCTTCTTGGGGGCCTGCGCAGCGGTGGTCGCATCAGCCATCGAAAGGCGAGTATCGGTATCGCAATGGCCCTTGGTGCTGTTTTCCCTCTCCCCGAACTCCTGGGATAGTTGGGCCTGGGTTGCTCTTATATTTATCAAGGAGTGTCGGTTCCTGCTGCGCGCTCATCAGTGAATCTGATGAAAGGCTTGGTGGGGCCGCTATCGATAAGGCACTGCCTCGAGTGACGTCTGCGGGGTGACTCAGGCCGGACTACATATACTTGTACCAATTTTTGCGCCAGGATATCGATGTCGAGTTTGACGGAAGACATCCTCGTCTTTCTATCTGTTGGTTGATTCACCGGTTCCTACCAGGGGACCTTCATGTCGAGTAGATGCAAGGTATTTCAATGGAGCTCCGATGGAAGCCACTGTTGTCGCGATCATAACATGCTCAATCAACACTTAATTTGCATCGACTAGGACTGAATCATAATGAACTGTTCCGTACGTGTTCCCGCTCCCAACGTCTCTTCATTCTGGTTCGATCTTGAATGTTGGATATCTAAACTTGAGAGTGATATTCGGAGGGTAGTGATTACAAAAATCCAGGAAAGAAACCATGGCCAAGTCGCATCTTCTGATCCAGTGAACGAAATAGGCATTTCCTTGCAATTTGGGAAATTGGAAAGACCTGAAGAGAATAGATGACAAGAAAATGTTCAACCCCGACGGAGTACGTTACCAGGAGACCAACTTCAAAGTTTTAATGCAGAGCAACTGATACAGCAACCTTTCATGTTTTACTGTTGTCTCTCCGTTTGATCGATCGATGAATAATGCAAAAATGAATCAGCGGCATTATTAAACAAGCACATAGCATCGGAACAGGCTGTTCGAAAATAGCGTCTTTGCCGTCTCTATCCTATGTAACCATGCCATAGTGAGAACCATATGCCAGATTCATTAATGCAGACAAAAGACCCGATCTCATCCTATTCGTATCGATACTGCCGCCGAACTCTTCTCTCTCTCTCTGTCTCTCTAGCCATCCATGCTTGCACAATTTCCATTATGTACCCAGTCCGCCCTATTTGTACAGTTCAAAAGGGGAAAATGAAACGAGGAATAACAACTAAACAAAAACGACTTGTGAAACCAAGTGCTCCCGTCCACGGACACTGTCTGATTTCAATAACGCCCCAATTGATGATGCCCCCTCAAATTCGACGCCTCTTCTCCGCCCCCCCCCTCCTCACAGGAACCCCTTGGTCAAGCTCGGCGCCCTCGTGCGGCCAATGCTGCTCTTCCGCCTCGGGATGTCCGGCGTGCCGTCTTCGTCCTTGCCCGCCAGCGTCGCAGCGCTACTAAACGTCGCCGTCGTGCCCGACCTCCTCATGCTGCCGTAGCCCACGACGCTGCCCGCCACGCTTCCCGCCACGCTGCCGGCCGACGACCCCTTCTCCATCCGCAGGTTCTTCCACCCTTCGAGCTCGCGCTCGAGCCGCAGGCTCTTCTCCTTCTCCTCGCGCAGCTCGCGCTCGGCCCGGCGCGCGCTCAGCTGGTTGCTCGACTCGGACGACTGCAGCTCGTCGATCGTCTGGAGCAGCTTGTCCACCTTGTCGCGCATGCGGCCGACGTCGTCCTGGAGCTGCCCGTTCTGCTTGTCCTTGCGCTCGATCTGACTCTGCAGGTCTTTAACGATGCGGTCGACGTTGCGCACAGACCTCTGCGACTTGGATCGCTCGTTCTCCTGTGCCTCGAGCTGTGATTCGAGCTGGTGATAACGCATGCTTTGTTAGCATCTCTTCTTGTGATACGGAAAGCAAAAAAAAGTGTAGTTTGCCAAGGGCGCCTTACCTCTTGAATTCTCTTGTGGAGGAACTTGATGTCCTGACTGGCCGTGGAGTAGCCCTTGGTCTCCAGATCGACGAGCCGGAGCTGGACTTCATGCAGTGACTTCTCCAGAGCAGCTTTCTCCTTCTGCAGCTGCACGCTCGTGTCGCGCTCGGTGACCATGTCCTTCTGCATCTCCGACACCAGCGCCTCGGCACGGCGCATTTTCTCCACAGCGGCGGCAGAGATGTCCTCCTGCTGGGCGAGGCTAGACCGGAGGTCGAGAATCTCCTTATCGAGGTTCGCAGCATTGCGTAGTGATGGGCTCTCGCTCTTAGCAAGCTCGTCAAGACCGGCCTTGGCCTCTTCGAGGCGAGCTTCGATGCTGCGCTTCTCACGGACAAGGCTATCGCGCTCAGATGTGATCTCATCAACCGAGCTGCGCAGAGTTCTGACTTGGGAGAGAAGATTGACGATCTTGCTCTGCGCTTCATTGTGGGCGTTGACAGCCTCATCGCGCGATGAGACTACATCAGAGAGCGTTGCCTCGAGACGTGACTTCTCCTTTGACCAGGTTGAGCTGTTCAGGACCTCATCGTCCCACTTGGATCGGAGCTCGTCCAGCTCCTCTCGGAGACGGGTGATCTCGGCCTGCTTGAAGAGCTTCTCCTCACGAGCGAGATCGAGCTCCTTGGTGATGGTGGCAAACTCGGCTTGATACTTCTTGCGGGTCTGCTCCATGCTCGACTCCTTATCCTCGATGTCCATGGCCCGCTGGTTCCGGTAGTCCTCGAGCTCGTGCTGGAGGCGCTTCTTAGCTTGCGTTGCAGCCTCGAGGTCCGTTGACATGTCTTCAACCCTCTCCTCTAGGCGCTGGTTCTGACGCTGCAGGTCCTCCAGGGCCGAGTCCATCTTCTTGCGCTCAGACATAATCTCAGCGCATGTGTCCTCGGCTTCCTTGGCTTGTGTTTTGGCGAACTGCTCAGCCCGAGAAGCCTTGAGGACAGCAATCTCGGCTTGTTCTAGCTTGCTGAAGTACTCGTCAGACCTGCTCTTGTACAGGTTGAGACTTGCAGTAACATCAGCTAGCTTAGACGCCTCCGCGTCCAGCCGAATCTGGAGATCTGCAAACTCCTGCAGGAGCTGATTACGGTTGGTGGCCTCTTGCTCGCGAGCAAGACTCATCTCCTGCAGGTCGGATTTCGCGTCACGCAGATCGACCTCGAGCTTGGCGCGGTCGTGTCGCATCTTCTCGTAATGCTCCTTCACATCCGCCAGCTCTGCCACTGCATCTTTGTGACTGTGGAGAAGGGATCGGCGCGAGTCTTCTTGGCTGTTGAGCAAGTCCAAGATCTCCTCGTGAGATTTGGTTTGAATGTCGCGCAGGGAGAGTTCGCCAGTGCGCAGCGCCTTCTCTAAGGCAGAGCACTTCTTCGAGGAGTCGTCAAGGAGGTCATGAAGTCGACTATTTGCCTGCTCAAGTTTCTGAACACGACGCAAAGATGAGGATTCGTCAGAAAACACATCTGGGGCCGGGGTGGAGCGGTCAAGTTGGCTCTGCAGTTGGCGGTTCTGCATCTGTGCCAGCTGCAGTTGGTTTTGCAGGTCCTCAACCTCAGCCTTGAGTGCCGTACGGTCGGCGTGAGAGCCGGAGTCGTTCACCTTGTCAGTCCGGTAAGAGCCGTTGAGCATTTCCGGCTCGACACTGTTGAAGCGAGGACGGGGAGGAGTGGACATGGCCGTGTAGACTCGGCCATTTGCCTTGGCTTTTCGCTGAGTGGGCGAACCGCTGAAATGCGCCTCGTTGCCACTGATCTCTTCGAGACGCGGCCGCTGCGGGGAGTCCTGGCGCTGCGCTCGGAGCTCAGCAAGCTGTGACTCTGCATTTGTCCGTCCCGCAGTCTGCACACGGAGATTCTGTTGGAGCTCTTCGACCTTGCGCGCCAGATCAAAGTTCTTGCTCAGAAGTCGGTCATTGCTGCCATCACTCTGAACTGCAGGCAACGAGTCCGGATCGACCACCTTCAGCACGTCGAGAAGCTGTTTTCGAAGCTGGACTAGCTCCTTGTCTCGAGAGTCAAGAGTACCCTGAAGGGTTCGGACAGTGCCCTGGGCCTGTGTCCGAAGCTGCTTCTCGGACTCGATCGTGCGGTTCGCCTCAGCCAACTGCGCGGTGAAGTTTGACGAGACCTTCTCCGCATTACGGCTGCTCTTCACCTCACGAGCCACCTCGTGGTTCAGATCCTCCAGATTAAGTTGCAACTTCTCTACTTTCTTCTCCAGAGACGCGATGGTGATCTGGGACTCGCCAAGTTGCTTGTTTAGCTTGGTGTTATGTTCTTCAATCTTGGCCTTTTCGCGTTGCAAAACCTGGAGCTGTCCGCGAGATGCTTCGCTTGCCCTGGATGTCGAGCGAGCAATTTCCAAGCCCTTCTGTTGGAGCTTGTTGAGCAAAGCGCGATTGTCATTCTCCGAGGCCGAGAGCCGGCTCTTGACGGTGTGAAGCTCTCGCTCCAAGCGTTCCTTAGCCTGATCGTTCTTGAGACCAAAGTCTCCAGATGAGAGGATCAACTTGTTGAGGTCCTCGACCTGGTGATTGAGCTTGGCGCACTCCTCCTCGAACCACTTCAGACGTTCTTGAGCAGCCTCGAGATCCTTGAGCAAGCTGTCTTCCCGCTCCCGGGCAATTCTAGTGGCCACTCGTTCTCCCGCGACCTCTGCCTCACGTCGAGCTTCCTCGGCTTGAGACTTAGCCACTCGAAGCTTTCTAATTTCTTGCCGTGCCTCATCCCGCTCTGCTTCGACGGCAGTCCTGGCTTCCATTGTCCGGCGAAGGGTATCCTGCTGAGCGTACAACTCCTTCTCGATAGTGATCTTGGACTCATTGAGATGGTCGAACTCATCCTTGAGGGTTTGATACTTGTGTTCGCCGAGCAGCAGGACGTCATCCCGTGACTGCCGCTCTCTGCTCAATTCCATCTGTGTTTTATATAGCTGGTCTTTGAGGTCCTTGATCTGGGACTCGAGTACTTGGCGGTTCTGATCTGCTTGAGCATCCTCTGAGAGTCGAGCCTGTAAGAGCTGCTTGGCATCCTGGGCCTCACGCTGAAGCTGCGACTGTTCAGACTTCAGTGCGACGATTTCGGCCTGAACCTCTCGCAGGCGAGTAACAGATTTCTCTTTTTCGGCGCCGAGAGATTTCTTCTGCTCCTCGAAAGCATGCCGCTCGGCCTCATACCGCTTGTTGTCGCTTCGCAAGAGCGATAGTTCACTCTCCTTCTTGCGGACCAGGTCTTCGTAGTCTGTTGAGGTTTGCGACAACTTTGATAGTTGCTGTTGAACGTCTCGGTTCTCAGCGAGCAGCTTCTGTTCTCTCGACTTGATCGACTGCAGCTCCTTTTGTGCTGCTACGAGCTTCACCTCAGCGTCCTGATCGATGCGCAGAAGCTTGCCTTCTAGATCGCGAGCTTTGCGGTCTTTGAGAGATAGCTGGCTTTGTAGCATTTTGATCTCGTCCTCGAGAGCCGCTTCTTGCTCACTTCTCTCGGACTGCTTTTGAGAGATCTCAGAGATGGCAGCCTCAAGCTCGGAGACGCGGTCGGCGAGTTGTGTCTTCTCCGCTTCAAGGCGGGCGATCAATCCGGCGGCCTGCTCTAGTTGGGACCGGTATTTCTCAACATCATCCTCGGCCTTCTTTTTGGCGTCAAGCAAGTCGTCGAGTTGATCTTCCAGGCGCTCCTGGTCTTCTATTGCCCCAGCGAGCTTGTCCTCCAGCTCGGCTTCACGTGACTGTAACCGTTTGAAGATCTCCTCCTTATCGAGGGCCAGTGACCGCTCGCTCTCGAGAGTCTGCTGTATTCTCATCATTTCCATGTGAACGTTTCGTCTCTCGTCTTCAAGCTTCTGGCGGTCAGCAGCCTCTTGCTTCATCTTGTCGTTGAGTTGTCGGATCATCTCATCTCTGCGCTTGACCTCTGTGGCTGTGCGAGTTGCTCCAAGCAAGGGCTTCATCTTGATAAGAAGTTGCCACCAGGGATTCTCGCACAGATCCAGGTAGACCTGGAAGTTTCTCTGGATGACACGAGTCGCTTCGGCTCGGTACAAGCGCTTGTAGGCGATACGGCGCTGGGTGAAACCACGAGCTACTGATTGGAATCGAGACATTATCTCCGTGATCAAGGCATCTCGTTGCTCTTCCAGCTCTGCTAGGACGCCGGCACGGAAGAAAACCTTGGTGAGACCAACCCGGAAGTCCTGCTTATCAAGCTTCAGTTTGTCGAGCATCATCCTTGCTGCCGCCTGGCCTTCGAGATACCCCTTTGGCATATCTCGGCACAGGACCTCATAGCGTTGGCGGAACTCTGCAAAGGGCAGCCTATTCGGGAATCCGGTTCGGACAATGCGAATTCCTTCCAAGACACCATTGCACCTCAACTGATCGAGTACCAGTAGGTTGTTGAACTGCTTCGGTCGCTTTTTGTGATTGGGAAGAATACACCGGACGAAATGAGGGTGAGTAGAGTGAAGCTGAGCCATAAGACTTGAGAGCTGCTCCTTGTGTCTCTGGGCTACGGTTCGGAACAGACCTTTCTTGACGCGACTCCGCATGCCACCGGTCTCCTCGTCTTGCTCGGCACAATCGGCGAATAGTGCAGCCACGTGCTTGTCCGTGGAAGCGGCCAGAAGGCGGGTTATGTTGTCGTTCAAGGGATCCTTGTTCTTCTCCAACCAGCCTTCCGTCGAGTATTCCACTTCTGCAGCATAGTGAGTGAGGATGAAGCCATGCTGGAGTCTTGAAGGCCGGTATTTGGTGGATTTCTTGTCCCAGAGGGAGTGGAGCTTCTCGGTGAAGGTTTTGTCGGTTGCTTTCGGCATCACACAATCCTCATCCAGACAGGAGAATATACCGATTGGGTTTGGCAGTTCGATCAGGTCGATGGTTGGTTGAAGATCCCTGCCAAAGTCGATGAATTTCCACTCGATTTGCTCTCGAGCGTATTCTTCTTGCTCGATGACGAACATGTGATGGTTGAAGAATTGCTGAAGCTTTTCGTTCGTGTAGTTGATGCATAGCTGCTCAAAACTGTTTTCTTCAAAAATCTCAAAGCCAGCAATATCGAGCACTCCAATGAAGTGAGAGTCATCCATGCCCATACCGCTCCGGTCAAGTTGTCGGTTGATTCTGGTCACAAGGTCACCGAAACCTCGCTCGTAGATACCCTTTGCTAGGGCGTCAATCGCAAGACGGACTTGGTCTGGCGTCTGGACCTTTTCTACCCATTCACGGCCTGCTTTGACTTTGGGATGCAACAGACCTTGCAGGAAGGGCTCTAATGGAACGCCTAGCAGCTTACACACTTTTTCTGCGTGTGTTTTGGCATCTGGCGCAAGCCTGGCCTGATCGGCCGCTCGACTCTCCTTGACGACTGAGATGTTGCCCAAGTGGAGAACAGCAGCGACAGTGCGCAGAATCGAGTTCTGCTCCTTGTCCGAGAATCCCATGACGTCGAATGATTCCATGAGCGAGCTCCATTCGTCGCGATCCGAGACACCGACAATGGTGTCGTGACCGTCGCGAGTGTAAGCAAAGTCGTCCACATCGAGGCCGTCGATCTGAAACTCTTGCTTCATTTTGCGGTCCGCACCCTTGATCAGTTGGTAGAAAACATGATAATTTCGCTCTTGGGAATTGATTCTGACGACCCGGGATTTCTCCAGGAGATACCAGTCGATGAATGCACCAGCGATGGAGCCAGCCTTGTTGAATTCGATCCGGATGAACTTGCCAAACCGCGAGGAGTTGTTATTCCGAACTGTCTGGGCATTTCCGAACGCCTCCAAAATCGGATTGGCCCGCAGAATCTGAGCTGACAGGTTGGCGTGCTGTTGGCCCCGGCTCTTGATGGGAGATTCGGACTGCGCGACGGCGGCCAGGTATTGAATGACCTTTTTCGTGTTCTCTGTCTTTCCAGCGCCCGACTCTCCGGTGACCAGAATACTCTGGTTCTCGCCTTCATCAACGAGATTGCGGAAAGCCTCGTCGGCCATGGCATAGATATGGGGTTTCGTCTCCTCGCGATTCCGCCCTTTGTACATATTAATGTACTCATTGGTATAAATCGGCAGCGGGCAGTAAGGGTTCACTGTCACCAAGAACAGCCCCGAGTATGTGTATATCAGATCGGCTTGATAGCGCATGTGTAGGTTGTGTACCACCGATGCCTCATTGAGGTGCGTCAGCTCAGCCATGTCGTTGGCCTTGTCGAACTTGGCCGGATTGACCTTGTCTGCGCTGTCCTCGTCGACCTCGCGTTGCTGTAACGCCGGAATTAGTAATGCACGACCAAGCTTGGGGGAGCGGGCGAGGATGGCCAACTCACACTGCCGTCCTCGCATTGTACGAGAATCCGGTTCCCGCCAAGGTCTTGCACGATCCAGCCCTTGACGAAGGCCGTCTGCGGATCTTGCAGCCAAACGTAACGCTTGCCCGAAAAGTCATTCTCCCCCTCAATGCCTTTGACGGCATCTGCGCTCCGACGCATCTCTTCCGTCTTGATGAAGGAGGGGGCAAAGGTGTTGGATCCAGGGGTGCCCTCTCGCGTATGCCGGGCCATCCCGTGGCTACTCTGGCTGGTCGGGACAAGGGCATTCCCGAATACTGCCTGTGATTGACTTCGGGTATGTGACATTTTCGGAGACGTAGTCGTGGCTGGCGAGGTTGAGGAGGAGGGGAATACCACTGATTTTGGCCGACCTGCTCCTGCTGGCCCGGGTGACATGGAGGGGTTCCTCGCAAAGGGGTTGTTGCGCGTCTGCGCCATGTTGTGGAAGTTGGAGGCCATCGTGTCAGGTCATGAAGCCGTGGTTTGCGCGAGGTTGCGTCGTCGATTCCTCCGATATGGATGCTTGGTGGTGTTGCGTAAACATTAGACGGAGGCACTCATTATCGTAACAAAAGGGCTGAAAACAGTGCTTCGTGAGGGAAGATAAACAACGAATAGCAGATGTAGATTACGGCCTTGCAGAAGACCGTCAATCGAGACCCGTCAAGAACTCTTTGGTCCAAAAAAGCAACCACTTTGGATCCTTGGTGTTGAGAAGCTGGTGGCAGCTGTTGTATCTCGTGGTTGCTATGGCGCACGCGTAAACAAACCTTATGTAATGACGCAGCGCGAGAGCGTAGGGGTACAGGGATCTCGTAGTCGGCTCCAGCAGGTTGTTCCAGTGGGCATTGAAAAAGGTCTAGTGCCAAAAGCCGGGCGCTAAGTGATCCAAAACAAGACGGCGGACCTGAGCACATGGGAGTTAGGCGGTCAAGGCGGGCTGTCAGCCCAAAACATCCGTGCACGCCCAACCCGCCCAAGGTGATCTGGGCAGACAAATCAATCACCTCCAGTCCCCACCAAGGCTCTCTGAGTGGTCTAGGTGCCAATTTTTACCGCCGTCTCTGATCAGCTAAATACTCTACTAAAAGTCCTGATCACTTTCATCATCACAAGCGCGTCAGAAGATCACCACCTGAACATCAGGTTCCTTTTTCTCTTCTTTTTCGCTCGAGGACACGGGGCTGTCAGAGATTGTGCAGCCATCTGTTCTTTGGTTTGATCAAGCCAGCCCTATTCATCCCTGTGCTCTTTTCGAACCCAGCGAGCTCTTGACTTGCAAAAAGACCTTACTGGCTTCTGAGACGAGACCAGGCCGCCTCTTAGGGGAAGTCCCAATCCCGATCTGTGAAGAGCGATACATCAAAACTTGCTACGTCGCCTTTCGTCGCATCGTCTGTCTCACTTTCATGGGGAGGTCCAAATATCAATAGGTCTCTGTGTCTGGTCCTTTTCGCCCAACAGCACCACGACGCAATGCGAGTTCGTCGCTTTACCATACCAACACCTTTCTTCATCGCGCAAGTCCTCTAAGAACGCCGAGCTGAACACGGCAACGGACTTCTCAGGATGTCGAAGTACCCGTACGGATACGGTGGCGGCCAGTGGCCTACGCCTCCGGTTGGCGCACCGGCATATGGATATCATTCCCCAGCACAGAATTTTCCTGGAACTCCTTCGCATCACGGACCACAAAACCCAAACGTCCTGCACAGCAATTATGCGACATCCCAGACCGCCTTCGACCACAACATGCATACCGCTTCTAGATATAGCATACCAAACTCGAACCCTGCGACCGCGAACACATATCCCGTGCCAGGAAGCTGGGACCCGTTGGCTGCGTCTCCAAACTACCTCCCCAGCCATCCGCCTCAACATCTCGATCAGTCATCATCTCTCCATGCCCAGCAGCGACTGTCAGCGCAACTGTCGGCGGCAGTGAACTCGTTGCGAGAGGACCAAACCAAGGCTCCAGAACAACTTGATGATGTCGTGGAAGACGGCGAGGTCAGCGACGGCGAATTCGAAGACTTCTACGAGCCTGCCGAACCTAGCCTGGCCGTCAAAGCACAGCCTAGGCCCGATTTCTCTGTTGACAATATGGAGAGAGACGAGGGCGAGATTAACGGGAGTGGGTCGGACCTTCAAGATGATGCCTTTTACGAGGACGAGCCTGGAGAAGTTTCTGAAGACACAACTGTTCAAAAAGGGTCAGATTCTCAGAAGGAGTCAAGACCACCCGTCGGAGAAGGACCCTCAGGAGCATCAAATACTCGTGAGCGATCGGGCTCCTATTCTCCATATCTGTCGCCTCGGGAGGTGCATCACGAGGATGAAGCGTCCGACGAGTCAATGCAAGACGCGGGCCCCAGGCTCACTCAAACTAGCCAAACTACTAGTGCCGCACCGCAAGTAGTATCGATGGACACGGATACAACAGGCTCAACTCTTGCATCTACCCATGGAGCTTCGATCAACATTGACAATACGACCGCCGATGCATCTTATGAAGGCCCTGTTTACAGCAGTGTGCAAGATGCCAAGAAGGAAGCACAGAAAGCAATTCTCAGACTCTATTCTGCTGGTGTCAAGTACCAGAACTACATTGATGAAGGATTTGATGAAAACCTCATGAAGACCCTTTTCGCTGAACTGGGCCTACAGCCCGGAACCTCAAAACACACTCAGCAGCCGAGCGTCAAGGAGAATTCTTCGGTAAATGTTCCGCCTCCCCAGGTCCATAAGTCTGGAGGTGACGGGTTTGAGGAGCGGAAGGATCGCATAGCGCGCCTGCTCGCAGCTAGGAAATCGAAATCGGCGCAGCTACCACCCCAAACGAGTCACAGCTCTGCAGCAGCGCAGCTGCCCCGTAAAGATGCCACAGCCACAGTTCCTGCCAAGCCCAAGACGAAGTCGGCCAAGGAGCTTCTTCTGCAGCAAAAGCTCGAAGCTTTGCAAAAGTCTCGCCAAGAGCGTGAAGCTCGTGCTCGAGCCAATACCGAACAGTCCAGCATGGCTACCGCAACAAACGCCCCGACCTCCACTGCGAACCCACGGCCGGAAGGAATGAACACTACCCCAGACCCCCTCTCAAATGCCGCGAGTGCGCCTCAGACACCGTCTGATCTGCCTCGCACCGGGGAGGCTTTGCTTCAAGGGTTATCCTCAGCCGCCAACGCCCCGATGACTATCCGCAAGCGACCGGTTGCCTCGGATTTTGTCGATTATTCGGCAACCGTAGGATCACTGAAGCGACCCTATGGGCAGCAGCGTCATGAATCCTCTCTTGTCATCGACATAAGCGATGCTTCTGATGACGAAGATATCGAGATGGAGGTCGATTCCCAGGCAGACGATGCGGACGACGAACATCCTCATCGATCAGATGGTGCTGCTCGAAAGGGGCCGTCTGTTCGTGACTATGCGCCACTGTCAGATACGCTTCCCCCGCGTCAATATGCCAGTTCAACCTCGTCCATTCAAACTCCGCCAAATGGTTTCAGCAATGGTAATAACAAAGCCAAGGAGGACGAGTATAGTCGGAAGATGAAGGAGATTGAGGAGATGAAGCGAAGGATTGCGGCCTTCGAAGCGAAGAAGGCAAGAAAAACTCCAAGTGGGTCACAGACGCCTACTAGAGCTGATGAAACTCCTGATGCGAGAGAGGCCGGACCCGGCATCTCAGCAACGTCGGCAGATGAGGCCAGCAAGAATAGCGACGGCCCCTCCGCCCAGCTCATTTCCGAAGCGGTCTCAGCCCGTTTACCCAAACGGTCTGATAGCACCCTTTCTCACCATGACCGCCGTGATCGCATCGTGAGCGACCAGATACCCAAATTGGACGCAAGCCTACGACAAAAGATGGCAAAGCTGAGGCTTCTGCAGGACACCGTGGCTCAGCTTCAGGCGGAGGTGGATCAAAGCATGGCAGAGAAGCAGAAGCTGGCAGAGGAAGCCGAGCAACTGGCCAAAGAATGCTATGTCGGCTCCCTTGAGGATGAAGCTACACCCGCAGAAGACTCTACAGTGTCACATACTACCGAACACCCCGCTTTAGAGCACAGCAGAGAATTGGAGGCAGTGCCGGCCGAAGAGGATGTCGGAATGTCCCTAGTCGATCAGGAGCCGGATGGCGAACCTGAAATCAGCAAAGACGACTCTGCCACGACCCCAGCGGAGACCCAATCAGTGCCGGATCTCGTCACCAGCCAAGCTGAGCCGATTTACTCACAAGATACCCCCTCGCAAGAAGCGAACGCCATGACTCTCGACGTCGCAAACAGTGTGCCCCAAGCTAACGAAACTGAGCCATACGCCGCCAATGATACGGCACGTAGCGAGTCAAAGGCATCCGAGCCTATGGACGAGGATGAACAATCCGATGCTTATGAGCCCCACGAACCCGTTGACCTGTCGCCTTCCGAGCATGTCGGCCTCGACTCGTCTCAACCCAGCCCGGCTTCAGGTGACGGCCTGGCAGATAAGAAGGCCGTCCTCGATACTGACTCACAGGAACAACAAACCCAAATCCCCTCTCAGATCTCGGCTGTGGTCCGGGCGAGTCCCGAAGTCGAGTCTGGACTTCGGGAGAATACTGCTCGAGAAGTACAAACCGATTCTCCGAGAGAGCCGGGTCAGACCACCCTAACTGTTTCGCAGACTACCCAAGCCGTCATCTCGAAGACAAATTCGTCTTTCACGCCCTACGACAGCCCTCTGAAATACTTCCGTGCTTACCGCTTCCACCCTCAATATGAGGAATTTGTTGCTGGTGGTCTCAGGTCCCTGACTTACAACAGCAAGATCAAGCCGCACGTGCAGATTTGCCCTCTTGAACTGGAGGAGACTGAGTGCCCTCGGGGCGCCTCGTGCGAGTTCCAGCATTTCAGGTCAATGCCCCTCAAAGGTAAGTCATCTCACGTCACTGTCGATGTACTGACCTATGACAAAGCCTGCCGCTCCTTGTCCGCGAGCTGACTCTGCCGCGGCCATGATTTTAGATGACCAGATCCTCGTTGAACTCGGGAAGTCTGACGACTTCTCGGGCGAGCAAAAGGTGCGCTTCGTCCAAGGCCTTCGAGAGGTCCTTCAGCAATTCCGGGCGGGCAAAGTCAGAGATTTCGATGCGATTGCCCATGGGATCATCGAGTACCGTCGACGATTCATCGGGGACAATACGCGGGTCCTGAGCCAGCTGGAAGGTGTTTCTCTCTGATGCCATCCCACTCACCACTAGGATCAACTCTGCGACGATGTCAGCATACAGTAAATCTGCATGTCCTAGCAAGCTGTATAGAACAGACAGGCCTCGGGGCACTTGTACGCGCACGCCGCAAGTGCGTTGCATAGCCGATGAGGTTTCCCCCATCTTTCTCTTTGCTTTGCGTTTCGTTTTCTTTGCGCAGCATCCTCGTTTCTTCTTTGCGGCCTTCATTGAACCTTGTGACTGCTCGAACATCGAGCGGAGTCACGAATTGGGCGGATGGAAAATAGGAGGGAACTGGCAACGATACCCAGCTTTTTTATACAAAAGCACGTAATCTTGATCTTCAAGTAACGGCGTTGGTACACATACTCTTTGGCATCTGGCAAAAGAGAAACAGAAAGAGCAGGAATTGGAAGGAGAAGTCAAGAGCAGGGAGCATATCATGAGGTAATGAGCAGTTGCCGGCAGAGAAGAGGCTCGCGGTGCACATTAGCCATAGAGCTTGTGTGCTGGCCCTGGAAGCCCAGGTTGTGCGCGTCGCGCGACGACCATCTGTCAAGTTTCTGGCGTCCAAAGCAGGACTCGTAAGAAGTGTGCGAATAATAATTCACCTTTTCCCATGCATCGAATCTTCAAACGTGTCCCAATACCTGAGCTGATGATATGATGGCTACCTTGTGCTCGATTGGCCATCGGTGGGCGGCTGTCTAGAGACATTGCCGCGCCCGCATTCCTGTAGTCGCGGGCCCAGGCATGATCTGACGTTTACAATTGCCCTCTGTAGCTTTCCGTGCTTTGCCTACTTCGTAAGGTACATCTCGAAAAGTAAGAAGTGAGGAATTTCATTGCCAATAGGACTTCGCGTGCCCCCCTGGGCTGGGTTGGCCGCCGTTTTGAGAATCCCCACTTCCAGTGGCGCCGGTGCTTCAGCACTGGCCAGCAAAGCGGAAACATCCATGGATCCATCATTGCCAGCCTTTGCTGGAAATGAAATAAGGAGGCAGCAGTCGAGCTTCGGCACGACAGAAACAAAAGCCCCCTCCAAAAGAGCCCCGGGTCTTGTCACTTGCTTGTTTCAATTTTTGTTTCTTCTTGTTTGATGAGTAAAAGCGACCACGACAACGACGCCACGAGTACTCAACTACCTTATCTCTCAGGTACTTACTTCACCTGTCCCGCCGCCATTCCTTACCAGCTTTGAGCCCTTGACAGCTGCTCTCCTCCTTCCGGGCTTGTGCCGCCTTCTATTAAGCCCACCCCTCTCATTATCTGGTGCTATCTTGAATCCTCCCCCTTATGGAGGAGTGAGCCTGTCGCTGTCCCCCAAAGTCCTGAGGATCTGAACAGCTGTTGCTTGGTTGGCTACAAACCTTCTCAATAAGCGCGTCAGCAGCATCTGGGCTGCTGCAATTGTCCGGACCAGCAACATGTCGCAGCATGACGAGGTGGTTTCTCCTGAATCACCACCGACAAAGGAAGCGCCGACCGATAACATGGACTCGTCTGCAGCCAATTCCGACCGAGAGGTGCGCACGCCCCAATCCACACTTGCTCATGCCGTGCCAATCTATCTGGGGGAAGACATTCGTTGCTGATATACCACCATGACCAAACAGGACACCTTTGAAGACGCCCAGGACGCCCAGGACACCCAGGACACCAAGTCCGTACGCTCATTAACAGCCAGAAAGCCCTCGTTAGCCAGACAAGCCTCCGACCAACCTGCCAACGAGCTTGAAGCTGCCTTCAAAAAGATCAGGGGTAAATCGCCGGCGGCGCCAGAGGACGGCGCAGTGGATGAGGAAGACAAGAAGGACGATGCCAAGAGGCCTGATGCCCTGGAGCAGAGACACTCATCCCTTTCGGTACAAAGGAGGATATCTGACGGCTCGAATGACGATCTCGACAATGTCAACCTGGATGATGAAACCACGGCAGCAGCTACCAAAGGTACCTACCTGCCCACTATTCTACATCTGTCCTTGTCATTCTATGACTCTATGCCGCAACCTCGTTTCGCAATGCCTTGCTGACGTATATCATTTCGTCAGGACCCAACAGTGCACCCACCGAAAAAGAACCCTCCAAGACGCTCTCACTGAGCAGTATCACCAACGCCCTTCCCTCGATGCCGTGGTCTCCCCCGGCTGTCAACGAATCCCCTGTCAAGAACCCTTCGCCGCGCTCACAGTCGCCGCCTGCTGCTGCTGTCCCGACCTCCCTCCCTACTACCGCTCCCGCGCCCGTGCCGGCACCCCCTACTCGGAAACTCACAAGCCCTTTCGCCTGGCTGTCACGGAACTCCGGACACAAGGAAAGCGCCGCCGCAACATCCCCACCCCCAGCCACCTCTCCACGCCGAAACACAGCCAGCTCTGTCGCCACACTGACTAGCAATCCAGAGATGATGCTCAGCAAGCTGGATGAGGAGAGGGAGGGGGATGGAAACGAGAATCGGAATAGCCTGAAGGACCGCTTCAAGCTGCTGCGAATGCGGGAGGAAGCCGGTCTTGGACCCTTGGCTCTGGAGGATGACAAGTCGGGCGCCATTGGCAGCTTGGTCGGGAAGACATCTGCGCTTGGTATAATGAGCCCATCGAGTGCGGCCGCAGATGAGGGGGAGCACGGCTTGGCAGTGCAGCCACCGCCGTCGCCTCTGCCACAGAGCCCCAACCCAAGCTTGGCACCCGGTACCGCTTCGGGCGTGACAGCTGGTCCATCGGCTTTCTCGAGTGACGCGCCGGTCGATTGGGATCTGTGGCAGTCGGTCGTATACGAAGGGCCTGCCGCAGTCGCTCGCACCAGCGCAGAGGAACTCAACAAGGCTATCGCCACCGGCATCCCGAACGCGATTCGCGGTGTGATATGGCAAGTTCTCGCCCAGAGCAAGAATGAGGAACTTGAACAAGTCTACAAGGACTTGGTGGCAAGGGGGACCGAAAAGGACAAGGACAGACACAGCAACGGATCTGCCAGCGTCTCCAGCAACGGCAATCTTAGCGTCAACAAGGAGCCTAATTCATCTGCCTCGTCGGTGCATTCCGAGCATTCTGGCGTCAACGGTCCGCCAACACCCCCGGAGAAGGATGCGGAGATGTCGCCCAAGGCGCAAGCGGCGGCCGCGGCAAACCGCAAGAAGAAGGAGAAGGAGGATGCAGCCATGCTGCACAAGCTGGAGAAGGCGATTCGGAGAGACCTGGGTGCTCGGACGAGCTACTCCAAGTTTGCTGCGGCCCAGGGGCTCCAGGAGGGCCTCTTTGGCGTATGCAAGGCGTATGCTTTGTTCGATGAGGGCGTTGGTTACGCCCAAGGCATGAACTTCTTGATCATGCCCCTTCTCTTTAACGTGCGTCATACCTATGATTTTCCCCAAAGATATTCTCAAAATACTGACACTGCATGCAGATGCCCGAGCAAGAGGCCTTCTGCCTCCTGGTACGCCTGATGAACCAATATCATCTTCGCGACCTCTTCATCCAAGACATGCCCGGCCTTCACATGCGGCTCTACCAATTTGAGCGGCTTTTGGAGGACCTGGAACCGGCACTGTACTGCCATCTTCACAGGAGAAGCATCTCCTCCCATCTTTATGCCACCCAGTGGTTCCTCACACTTTTCGCCTATCGTTTCCCTCTCCAGCTTGTCCTCCGCATTTACGATCTGATCTTCTCTGAGGGCCTCTCAGCCATCCTGAGGTTTGGCATAGTCCTTATGCAGAAGAACGCATCAACTCTGCTACAGATGTCTGACATGGCGCAATTAACAACTTTCCTCAAAGACAAGCTCTTTGATGTCTACATTGACGCGGCCCCCAGTGCCGGGAGCATTCTGGAGAATGGCTTCTTCGGCAGCTCTTCCTCTAGTCTCGACAAGGAGATCTACCGAGCGGATGAGTTCGTCCGTGACGCCTGCGATGTCAAGATCACCCCAGAGCTCCTCAAGACCTACTCGAACGAGTGGGAAGAGAAGACGCGTGCCGAAAAGGAGCGCGAGACCGAACTTGAACACCTCCGATCCAGCAACGCCAGCTATGCTATCCAGGTTCGCAAGCTGGAGGAGCGCATCGAGGCTGTCGACAGGGAGCAGGCGGCACTGGCCACGGAGCTCGTGCACACCAAGGTCGAGAACGAGGAGCTCAAGGACGAGAACGAGAGTCTCAAGGGCCAGGTGCGCGAGCTCAAGATCGTCATCGAGAAGCAGCCCGAGGAGATCGAGCAGACGTGGAAACTCGAGCGGGACGACCTCATGAAGCGCAACCAGAAGGTGCACGAGGAGAACCAGAAGGTGGAGAAGGAAATGTCCGAGCTGGAGGAAGAGCTTGTCCAGACCAAGCTGCGGTACGCCGAGGTAAGAAACAACCCGCAACACGAATCTTCTTTTCCACAAGTAGACAGACGATGCTGATTAGCCAACTTGGTCCAGATCAACTCTTCACACGAGACGCTCATGCGCAAGTGGACGGATCTCAAACGGCAGTTTGAGTAACAAAACAAAACTCCCTCCGCCGCAATCTGCGGTTCCTCGTCTCCGGGACTGCCCCTTTCTCCAACCATGTGCTTACTAGCTAGCGGCTTGCCTTCATTGCCGGGTGCAAAATACATCATCACGCAGATCACGACAAACTGCATTTCTAGGGTATACCTTGTTCCTTTTTGCAATTGCCATTCTTGTACAAAAACATATGCGCCCCCCCCCTCCCCCCAACGCTTCGTTTCTATAGCACGACATGGGAGGCGTCGTCACCCAGGGGACGAAATCATAGCATGTCTTCTCCGTGCGCATGTCCGATATCCACAGACTCTCTCTTTTTCCCTTTTTCTTTCATGTGTCGTAATGACTGGATGAGGTGTTTTCAACTTGTGGTGTGTGACTGGAATCAGATGGAAATGTACGATATATCCCTCCGCTGTAGAAGCTGTCCAGATCTTTTTTCAAGAGACCGACGAGCCTAGTCTTGTCAATCCGCCACCGAACTTTGCCTCGACGTCCCGTGCTTCATTCTCTTGACTCTGGCGGAAGGTCGCCAGTACTGCCTGCTGCTATGATTTGTTAAAAAACATGTTGCATTTGTTGCCTACGTGGATAGGCGTTCTTCCCGGTCAGAATCGAGGTCAACTATCGGACTTGTTTATCAACAAGACATCTACGGCCATCACCATGAACTAGTTGACATCATTGGAAATTGTATTAAAAGGGTGACCTTCGATTCAGGTGCCATGCCTCAGTACTGCTCAAGTCATCGGCCTGCACTCCGATGCTGAAGCAGACTTCAGAACTGGCGACTCGACTATCTCAGGCTATCTAGCGCATGCTCCCAAGAGGCATGGAGCTCACGCCGAAAAGAAAAGTTCAGGAAGAGCAAAAGGTAGAGTAAAATGGAGGGAAGCGCCTCCATGTAGAACCACATCGCCCGCTCCCTTTCTATCGGAGACCATGGCAATGAGGTAGCAAACAGTCTCCCCCTTTGTAAAGATAATACACTGCAACAGGCAGAACATGAAACACACCCTCGCTCTCTCTATGCCTGGACCCTGCCCCCGAAAAATGCCACTCCGATGATGCGATGTGTTGCAAACCGGCCAAAACAACAGGTCTCTGATGCAGGGTGGGAAATGAAAGGTGACAAGTGGAAGAGTCTTTAGGCGAAACCAAAGTACTCGCTTCCAGCAGTGATGGCTTTGAGCAACTGGCTGCGAAGGGCATCATAGCTCTCATACTCGGGCAAATCCAGCTCTGGGAGAAATGTCAGTAAATCGCTAGATGAGAGACGAGACGCCCACAAAGGGGCGAGGTGGACAAAACTTACGGTTGAAACAAGTATGGGAGCTGGGTAGACGATCCTTGTTGCCATAATCGCGATGAATGTTGAACCGGTTGATACCATTCATGCCCTCCAATTCTTTGAAACCGTTGAGCGGTACCTTGGAAGTGCCGGTGACGAATTGGAGAAGCTTGGCTCGCTCCTCCTTGTCGAAAGAACGCAAAGCGCGCCAGAACCACTGAATCTGCTGCGATGCCGCGGTGTAATTGTGATATTCAGTGTTGCCTTTCCAGTCATCAATGTCAATGTCTGGCAGACCAGAAATCAACAACTCGAGCTCTTGCTCGTTGAAGATAGCGATGAGGTCGGCAGGAATGATGTCATGGAAACCTAATTGCAGACACTGATTAGCCGACTGCGAAGTGGTCATCATCTTGGTCGAACCGGAAACATACCTTTCAAGAAGTGCTCCATCTGTTCCTTGACTGAGGAGATGAGCTTGTGCTCGACCACAAGGCGAACATACTCTTTCTTGTTCTTGTCCGTGACCGGAATGTCGCGGCCATTCTCACACAAGTCAATGATGTTGGTTACGCCAAACTCGTCGTCTTCAACCGAGAAAGTCTCGGTAAGGATATCAGTAATATCATTCTCGAGGATCCAGACAAGTGACTTGTAGTAATCCGGGTCGAATGACTCCATGTCCTTGACAGAGACGGGCTTGCCGAGGATGCGCTTGTAGACCGCACGGCTAAAATAGCAGTCCAGAAGTCGGCCTTCGTACAAGGCCTTGCCGATGATACGACCAATGAACTTGAAGAACATGAGGTGGTCATCGTTGACGTAACTGAGCTTGTTGGGGTGGAACGTTGTCCGATCAGAAGAGACAGGAATGAAGAGAGCGTTATTGGGGTCGAACATTTGGCGAGCGAGAACTTGGAACCACTCTCGCGTAACGCCACCTGCATCAATGCCTTCCTCGCCGTGGAATCGGATGTTCAGCTTGCCAAACTTCATCTCATCGCCGGTCTTGAAGTACAGCGACCTGAACGAGTCATGGAAGACTTGGTCTCGCCGGACGGACAGTTGAAGCGTAGGGAATGGAGGCCTGGCCTGGTTTCCAGTCTTGGCATGGACGCTACGGTTGAAGTAGTTCCGCTTGTTATCAAATTCAAGAACCTTGGGGTTCTTAACAAGCAGAGAGAAAGTGCCCGACATGAGTTTAGGGTTGTTGCGGACCAACTCGTTCAGGATGCGACGATGCTCCCCAGTGAAGGCAAAGAAAAGGCCAGCAATTCGATCTTCTGGCGGGGGGCTGGACAGGAGCATCTCCTTCTGGGACTGGGACGGAGGGCTGTCACTCAAGGTAGTGTTCTTGCAGACGACCATGAGTGATTCGATCAGCGGCAAGAGGATCGTCGCTACATTGAGCATGCTCTCACGTTGCCGAATGGCGCTCAGGCAAGCACTCAGCTTCTCCCACATCGTGTTGAATGTCGGGTTATGGTAGAGAGACATCAGAAACTCTTCCTTTTGAGGGCCCTCGGTATCCACAGGCTCGTCAGATTTCTTGCCCTTGGTGTCGAACAGGTGATCCAGTGCCGTAAGGACTCGAAGAAGCTTGTTCTGCTCCGAGGCACCCGGAGAGAACTTGGCGAGGGCAACTCCTTGAATCTCCGTGCCCGTCTCGGCCTTTTCGATGTGCGGAAGGAGATCGATCAGGTCGTTCACGATATTCTCGCTGAGCAGTCGTGCCTGTCGAACCAATTCTTCACCAAAGACCGACTTGGCGCCCGGGATGTTCGAGAGATTCTTGATGGTGGAGATCGTGTTCTGGAAGGTCTTTGAGCTGCACTCTCGTGCCACGAAGATGTTGATGACAAGAGTGAGATTTTCAACTGGAATCACTGGGGGCTGCAGCTGGTGGACCTTCTTTTCCTCAGCCGCCTTGGCTGTCTGCTTCTCAGAAGTCGGTGCGTCTGTTTGTGTGCTGCTCTGCCCGGGCTCCGTGCCCGCAGAGCCTCCATCTTGCATCTCCGCCTGGTGACTCTGCACATTTGCCTCATTCGAACCCTCCGCCGAAGCCTCTTGAGCCGAGGCTGCGGCCTCGGTTTCCTTCTTCTTCTTCTTCTCTGCCTCCTTCATAGCTTCCTCCTGGGCCTCCTTGCGACGACGCTCTAGAGCCTGGAGTGGATATGTGACTTTGTTGAGGAGGTCGGCCAGAAGCTGCATGACTGAAGAGCTCTCCATGATGAGATCGCGATCCAGCAGACTCAGCAGGGAGTTGATGGCGTATCTATTGGCCTTGGAATCCTTCCCCTTGCCCTTTTCTTTCTTGTTCAGAGCCCGCTTGAAAGACGAAGTTGTTGGCTCGTGTTCAGTCAAGAACAGCGAAGGGACGTGAAGGTTCCTGGTTGACAGCTCGCTCAACAGGTCGAGACATTGCTGCACGATGAGCAGAGGCGAGATATCAGAGTTTGTCGGAACGTGGTTGCTGCTGCTGATGTTGGTGAAGGACCGCTTCAACCCGCCAGGAGTCTTCTGGTCTTTGTCTTTTGGTTGCTTGGCCTTGATAGAAAGCTGCCCAAAGCTGCGTTCTACTGCTGTCATGTCGGTACTACCATCCTGGAGAATCTGGAGAAGGCTGCTGACGACTTCGAGTCGGTTTTGGCGATTCTCGCAAATATCAGCGAAGACACTGAAGAGATAATTGCGGATAGAACCTTGCTGTGAGATAAACATGAGTCGCAGCAAAGTGGCAACCCCGGCCTTATCAAGCATCTGGACTACCGTTCGCCGTTGAATCTTGTTGTCGCTTGTGGGTACGGCTTCCTGGGCTCCTGATCGAACTCGAGGTGCACTTGGTGTGGGATGGTGGCGCGCGTTCATGGCCCGAACCTCCGCTCTCATGTCTGGGGGTAGCTGATCAATGATATCTTCGCCTTGCTCCATAAGAACTTGCTGCCGTAGCTCGGTAGGGAAGGTGAGGAGAATGCTTGCAGGGTCCATATCCTGAGGCAGGGCTGCTTGTCCACCTGCAGCATTGCGCCGTTCCTGCTCACGTTGGCGGCGGCGCTGTTCCTGTCGCTCTTGCTGGACTATCTCGTCCCGCAGGTCTTGGGGAAGCGCATCGAGGAACTCGTTGAAATTCTCGGTTTGCTCACCACTCGTCTCGGCTTGCTCCCTAGCTTCGGATCGTCGAGCGGTGAGGGTTTGGGCAATGACCTCCTCTCTGAACTCTTCGGGAAGAGCCGCGAGATACTCTGGGTCGATTCCCAAGCCCGTGATGTCGACTTCCTCGCCTCTGATGGTGGTCATCACACGAGGTACATCCGCCTCGGGCTCTGGTCTGGTTGTAGACTCCACACCCTCCATGGCCTGGCTGGTGCTCTCGTTCTCCCCAGCTGCAGGTTGTGCTTCGGCGATAGATTCTGCTTGAGCAGCTGCTTCAGCTGCTTCGCGCTCAGCTCGCTCCCGCTCCTCAGCCTCTTGTTTCTCTCGGGCAGCCTTCTCTTCAGCCTCCTTCGCCTCACGCTCCTTACGCTTCTCCTCCTCGATGCGCTTGCGCTCCTCTGCAGCTTTGCGCTCAATCTCCTCCTTGCGTGCTTTCTCCGCCCGTGACCTCTCTATCGCCGCGGGAGTGAGCTTTGCTAGGATCCATGATGTGAAGAGCTTTGGCGCCTTGTCCACATGGTTGAAGCCGAAGATGATTTTGGCCTCTTCTTGCCATCGATCTAGTGTTGTCTCGGTGAGAAATGCCACAGCGTGGTGCGGATCAAGGTAGGTATCCCGTCGACCCTCAGACCGAGACTCACGCCCTGGTTGAAGAGGATTGAAAGGGATACTCAGCTCTCGCACCTCTCCGCCAGGTCCTTGGGTGATCTGGAAATGAAGAGCCTGTCCGCTACGAGGCCAATTGGGCAGGCTGGCCACGATATCGTTGATGAATGCCAGAGGACTGTCCATGAAACCTCCACCGAGAAAATTGCCGGGAACCCCCAATCGCACAGAAGCTCCACTATTGCCGGGCCGCATTGATGAGTCGCGGCCATTGTTGGTTCGGCGGAGTAGTGGGTTGGTCCCGTCATCCGGATTGTTCGGGGCAGCTCCAGAACGCCCTGATCGAGGCACGCCTCGGAAGTCATCCAAAGGATGTCTCGGCCCTCCAAAGACCACGGAGTGTCCGCCTGGGAATGGGCTGCGCAAGCCGCCGTGACGATGAGCTCGGTGGTTGTGGGCATGCTCCACAAACATGTTGTCCCACCCAAGATTGACAGGAGGGGGGGGCTCATCATGGGGATACTCCTGTTCATAGATGTACTCCTCACCATCCAGATCGTCATCTTCATCGTCATCATCGTCCGCACCGTCGTCGATGTAATGATCCTCAAAGGTACCCATATCCTCTGGATCCATATCATCGACCGCCTGCATAGCGCGAGCGATATCGGCAAACCGTCCGAGTTGTTCCGGCTCAATATCATGCATGTGCATCTCGTCGAGGTCCTGGCCCTCGCCCTCGTAGTCAAGCTCATCGTCCTCGACGCTGTGCTCGCTCTCCCAGCCCGACGAGCCGCCATCGCCTAAACCATTGCCTTCGCCAGCAATTTCGATCTGATTCTCGACATCCTCCATGTCTTCGGAGGCGATTTCCTCGTCATCGTCATCATCGTCATCATCGCTCAGGTCTTCGTCGTCGTCATCATCATCCATGGACTCATCGTCCTCATCTTCGTCCATGATAACTTCAACCACACCAGGCTCGCCCGGCAGACCTTCGATGTCACCCATCTCCTCTTCGTCTTCGTCACTAATGTCCTCCTCGCCATCCTCGGTGATCTCTTCGTCGTAGTCAAGTCCCTCATCGTAACCATCGTCATACATCTCGTCATCTTCGTCCTCATCCGAGAAGTCATCTTCTTCCCGCGGTTCAAGCATACCCAGTGCCGAATTTCGATAAAGGTCAGGAGTTTCTTCGCGATCATCGTCTATGTCAGACAAAGATGAGGCTGAGGCAATTTCGTCTTCAACACCTTCGTTCGGTGCCAACGGCAGGATGTTGGAGTGACTCAGCTGGATGGCAGTCTCTGTGAGGATGCGAAGAACTCGAAGAATATACTTGATAGTTCGTTTCACACCGGGATAACTGAGGTCAATATCGGCAATCGAAGCGGTCAGAGCAGCTAGGTAGCCCTTCTCGTACATGAGACGCCGGAGCTGCATTTGGGAACGAGTTGAGGGATTGTGAGGTAGACGGTGTGTTGCGGAGTCTTTGTCCTTCTCGCCGATCATGTGTGCCATGAGTTCGCCAAGGGACAGCATCTTCGCGTAGCGAACATCAAATGCTTCGATGGGTGTAGACGCCTCCTTGTACGCTCGAAGGATGGTATCTAGAACGAACTTTCGCACAAAGAGCAGGTCTGGCTCTTCGTCGTACTCGTAGCGGTCCTTGGTTTGATCACCAAACTTCTCATTCGTCTTGCTCACCAGCGCAACGAGGACCTGGCGAGCTTGATCAGATGTTGCGGTCTTCTTCTTTGCTGCTGTGGTATCCATTGAAGATGGCAATGTCCCGACGCACAAAAGATCATTGAGGAGGTAATTGAGAACGCTTGATCGCGGCTTGACAGGGGTATGCATCAACAGAGGCGCGCCGCGCTTGAAGTTGATAAACTCCATCTTAGCGCGGTTGTAGCTCTGCAAAAGTTCCGCCAAACAGTTGAGGAGGAAGCACCGATAAACGAATATCGGATGGTCTTCGGGTTTGAAAGGCACTTTTGGCGACTTCTTTTCCTTGCTGTCAGCACCAGTAGGACTGTCCGCCGCCGATGATGAACCTGGAGAGACGGATGAGGTGGCAGCCTCCACTGGCTTCGGGTCCTTCTGGGCAACTTCAGCGTCATCAACTCTCTGGTAGTTGAGAAGCTGCTCCAGTAAGAAGTTGATAATGCCGTCTGGGTTCTCGACAATGGGGCGCTTGTGATCATGAGCGGGAGTCTTTGGAGCATCGGCCATCTCTTGGTCTTGTCCCTCAGTGGATGGTTTGACATCATTGATGTTCAAGCCTTGCGTGGCTTGCACGGCCGGGCCCACCGAATCGTCCTTGCGATTGTCTTCCGGTGAAGATTGCTCCGACTTCTCCTTGAGCTGCAAAGACCCCTGGGGAGCAGAACGGTCACTCTGGCTGGGAAGCCACTTGTGGAGTTTTGTCATCTCTTGGGTCGCCTCCACAAAAAGCTCAGGCGAGCGCAACGCCACATGAGACATGTTGCGCAGGAAATTCTGAATTTCATGAGCTCTCTGCGTCCTTGAAGGGCCTTCGAAGTAGGCTTGGATCTCAGAACGCATGATCTGCTTGATGGTCTCATCATCCTCGACGATATGGCGAAGGATGATCATGATGTTCGCGCCAATGCGCCCTTCCTTGAAACGCATGGAGCCCACACCAGAGAGTTGCTTGGCCATGACGAAGAGGCGTTGCAGGTTCTTCTTCTCGCCCACGATCTTTGCCGTTGAGCGGCTTCGTGTCATAACGACAAGGACGCGCAAAATCGCTGTGGCTAGCATCTCCTCCTTGCCAATGCGTGGCAGTAACTCCAGGACTGCATCAAGGAGGACCTGTCGCTCTTCATCGCCGATGACGGGTTCCTTTGCTTGCAACACCAGCGGCTCAATGGTATCACTCTCAGAGGTAGGCGGTTTCCATTTGGCTTCAACGACCTGGCAATCATCGCTCAGAAGAATTTCGAAAATCAGCAGAATATATGGCGTCCACTGAGGGAGCTCTTCGGTTGCGCTGCTTGGTGGAATGTGAAGGAAGGAAAGGTACGCGGCAAGGTTGTCCCGAATTGTAGGCAACGTGCTTTGGAACAGTGCGGTGGACTCTAGAAGGAGTATCGAGAGCAGATGGGCATACGCAGCGATGCGCTGTGCGTTGGGTTTTTCTACCTCATCACTGATACTCAGGGACATCAAGGCGTTCGCCAGCGTCTCTCCAACTTCTTGCCGGTCGTCATCATTGTCCGACTTCAGAACGATGGTAGAGATGAGTTCGGAAACGTCATGGACAGCATCGGGGTGAGCTGCAATGATCTCAAGGCATCGATCGATAAGGTTGGCCTTGAGCTTTTCTCTCTCGGCATCAAGGTCCTCCTTGGAGACAGGGAGTGTAGTCCCCGACGTAGACCGAGACAAGGAACTTGGTGCTTTGGCTGTTGATGTGGCCGGCTGGTTGTCTTGGCCAGTATTCGCGCTCGACGTAGCCGGAGGGTCTACCGCCTCGTCATCGTCGTTGCTACTAGACACGTCCGATGAGTGTTCCCTAAGGTCGTCAAGGCCAGCTTCACCCAACAAGCGGTCAAGTTCTGGTGAGGGGTCCAACATCATGGCATCACTGAGAAGAGCTGCGGCACTTGGTGCGGAGGGTTGACTCTGAAGGCCGGTCTGCTCCGGTGTAGGCGGCACTTGATAAGCGTCATCTTCAGGAACAGGGTGTCGAGGACCGGCCAAGCCAGCGCTATGAGCTCTGCAATACTCCGTGGCGCCGTCTAGATTGCCGTTGGCGCGGTAGACTGCTTCCCGTGCCAGATCCTCGCCATAGTTCTGATGTTGTGCATTCTGACGTTGTGCAAGCGTCGATATCTGGTTGGAAGCTAGGCTCCAGCGGAATTTGACCACTTCGGTGTTGAACAAGGGTGGTGGGGGAGGTTTGCCTTCAGCCCGGCGGTATGCATTGGATTCTAAATCAGATCCTGACGCAATTGTCTTGAGGATTTCGACGATCTTGCTCAGGACCGGGGTGGAGATCTTTTCCATGATATCAGAATCCCAAAGCTCCCGTGCAATCGGTAAAATGGCCATGCGTAGTTCAACCAAGAGCTGAGCTCCACCATGCGAAGAGTTCCTGTCAACTTGGCTGACAGATTCTGAGATGTTCTTGCCATTGACAAGGAGGGCGTAAAGCTCCAAGATCTTTTTCATACCTAGGACAGCCATCCTGGGCTTTGCCGAGACTTGAGCAGCCTCGTCTGGACCCCGGGAAACCTCGCTGATAAAAGATCGCAGGAGCGCATTCAGCGAGTCGAGCCCGCCTCGCTTCTTGAAAGCTACCAGAACCGGGATGATGATATGAGCACCAGAACGATCACTTGGTCGAGTGTGATCAACAAACATCTCATGAACCGTGTGCAACATGACGATCCAATAATGGTAGTCGGCCTTGTCAAGTTGACCCGAGTCCAACTGATACAAGATGGTCTCTGCGAGAGCCTCGGCAATACGCAGGTGGCCCGATCTCAAATAAGGGTCACGCTCTCGGCGAGGTAGTAGAGCTTTACCAAGGGTCTGATAGAACGGCAAGGCCGTTGGCATGAAGGCATGAAGTAAAGTGCGAAGTGTCTTGAAATTCCGGTACCGGTTAGACGCTTGCTCTTGAGGTGACAGCTTTGTCAGCTGACCAGCAGTGTTCTCTTGACGAGCTTCCGCCGTCAAGATATCCTGGATGGTGATGTCGTCACCCTCATCGCCCGGCGTTGCTGAACCAGCTGCATTCTGATCGCTGGGTTTATCTTGAGCAACAGAGACTGGGCGGGTCCAATGAGATGGAACCGAACCGGCGATATCCAGTTCTGCAGTCAATATCGGACGTAGGAGCGGGGCGAGTGACTTGATCAAGTGCGTATAGTAGTCAAAGACATTGACGGAATGCAGAGTGTGGGTTGCATGTCGCGAAGAATAAGGGAAGCATTGGTACAGTGTTCTGATGAGAATCTCTGCGCTGAGCAGAGCCTTCACGACCTTTGTGCCTTGTTCAAGATCCTCGTCCTGTACAGTGGGCGCCTCGGGCCCGAAAGCCAGGAACTTCCTGAAGATTGAGTGCGATTCGCCAGCCGTGATCATCGGGCCCAGGGCATCAATAGCAGACTGCGTTCGCTGTAGAAGTGACGGCAGGCACAAGATCGGCGACTGCTCAGCAACCTGAGAAACCACATGTTGGAGAGTCCTGGCTGCAGCGGTCTCGGCGAAATCATACGGGAGGCTCGGCGTGGCGGAGAGGTCAAGTAGGAGCTCTACGCCTCCGTCTCTCACAAAAAGCGAGCGGAGATTCGTATTCGTCAAGTACGCTGACAGGAAAGTCGACAGAGCATTGATATAGGGCGTGATCTCCGTGTGCGAAGGAACAGTAGAGGCACTGTCGGTGCCTTCGGAGATAGCGGAGGACTTTCCCTCCGTTGATTCTACGGCATCCTGCATCGTGACATCTTCTGGCAAAGTCGCAGTCTGCTTGCCCTTAGTCGATTCGGCAGTTGTCACATCCTGCTGTGGGCTGGCGTCCCCCAGCATTTTGACTCCCCATCCCTCATTTTCGGCCTTGGATTTCGCCAGGTAGTTCACCCGTGCAACCATATCCAAGACTGAGTTGGCGATTGCTGGTCTCAGGGCGGGGTGGTGTCGAGCCAGTTCGTCAAAGCTGTTGCCAACGCTCGAGGCAAGATCGATATCGCCCTCCATGCAGTGCACGTGCAACGGACTCTCAAAAATATCCAGGTAGCTATCGAATGCCCGAGAAGAGACAACCATCTTCATGCCAGCATTGTTCAGTGAGATGGAATTGAGTATGGTTGGGATGATGCTGATTGCCTCTGAGGACGGTAGAATGCCGCGCGCAAGGGGACGGTCGCGAGTGGCTTCCAACGTATCGTTCGTGGGTGGATGAGGCCGGTGATCTGTTTCAAGCAAGACCGAACCATCCGACTCAGGCGACGATGCATCGTCTGCTTCTTCATCGGTTGCAGTAGCGTGGCTGCTCTGTGCATCTACCTGTTCAGATACAACGGGCCGTCCGGTGATGGATTCTAGGAAGCTTGTAATCATCCCAGATTCAGAGATAGCGGCGAAGCTGGTAGGGTCATTGTTGATAAAGTCGCTCAAAATTGTCACGACATTGGTCCACACCACTGAGCCAAAGCGCTTCATGCTCTCCATGATGCGGCGCAGACTGTCAAGCATGGTGGAGTTGTCCACCAAGTTTCGCAACAACCGGTCAGTGTTGCCTCCATAGGTGTACGCATTGCTCATGATATGGTGGGTAAGCTTGAGAAGCCATTTCAGCACCTGCTGCTGATAGAAGGGAATCTCGTAGTCGACAATCGTCGACCGAAACTCGGGCTTTGTACCTGAGCCAGAATTCGTAAGTTCGATCGCGGATGAGGTGGTATCAATAAGCAGCTGAGAGATACAGTCCAAACCACGGCCATTGACAAACGCCTGGAAAGCACCCTGTATCCCATAGATCAGGTTGTCCAGGAAGGTGAGCACGACCGAGTGGACGCGGACCGCAGTAGGAGAGCGAATCTTAAGGATGTCGATGAGAACGTCCATCAACCCGGCGGAAATGACCTCGTTGCCAATTCGGCCAGACATTGTAACGAACATGGCTAGGGAGAATAGATTGCCCCGCCATTCATCCGTGACGGTAACCTGGTCTCCGGTATCATCCTCGTCCTCCTTCATCTCGGCTACAGCCTTACGAATGACGTACAAGAGTACACCATGGTTGACATTCGCGTTGAGAGCGGACAGTACATCCGAGAGCTTTGACTGCATCATGCATATGGCTTCAAGAAGCCTCAAGGCAATGGATTGAAGCCAGAGCGGCATCGCAGGTGCCCCAACAGTTGAGGGGTGGATGAACTCTGTCAACTGGTAAGTAAGCTGGAAGCGACGTGGCTCGTCGTTGTCCTGTCGGAGAGCCTTCTCAACGAATATGGCCTCGGGGTGAATGTATGCCAGGTTGAGGATAGCCATGAAGCGCACAGCTAAAGCCTGCTGACGACTCTCGGGGGAATCAAGTAGTGCCTTGGCGATTCTGAGTCGATTCAGGACCTCGTAGCGGTACCCCTCGGGCATATCTGCAGGGCAACGTGACAGAAGATCGTAGATGGAACTGGACGATACCGCCGTTTGGGGGATCTCGAACAGTTTTTGACTCGGAGCAGCCGAGTCATCGTGTGCCATTGCAGGCGACCGGGTGTATGACACCGGTGATGAACCGTCCTCAACGCCACTAGCGCCCGCGCGCTCATTACGCGGCGTCCTATGCTGCGTCGAGCCGGCAGTGTTGCTACGCCGTAAGGGCGTAGGAGTAGTAGGGACAGAGGAGCTTCCACGATCCAGCGCTGGTGCTCGGCTTGAGCTAGGGTCGGCTGGGTTCTGCTGCGGATAGTAAACCAATTTCAGGTCCCCCCAGCCATGCCAGCGTCCCTCGTCTTGTTGGTCTGGCGTGGCTATCGAGACAAGGTCGTTGGCATAGAGCGACGCAACGTTCTTAGCAGCAGCGCCATGTGCCTTCTCCTTCCCCTTGCCTGTAGAAGCGGGGGTTTTAGGGGTGGTTGGATCGGTGGCAAGAGGGACGATAGGAGTCTTCACAAATGGCTGCGCAAGCTGGTGAACCCTGTCCAGCTCGATATCGTAGTGGTTAGCCAGGATAGCATTGCTGATCTGACGATTGGTACCGCCCATGCGCTTGACGGATGCCTGGTACCGTTGTGCGAGCTGCATGCCGACTTGCAGGGTCGCCAAAAGTACAGGAAGCGAGGTAGAGTTCAGCAGCTCGTTGAGATGTGCGCTGCTGGCATAGATGCTCCTATTCCCACAGCGCTCTAGTAACATTCGGCTGAATTTCAAGATCGAGATGAGGAGCTGGCTGTCCCCATCCTTCTCGTATCCCAGCTCTTTTAGCCTTGCCATGTCCCATGGCTGATCATCTTGAAAGTTGATAGAGGGGCATTTCTTCAGCAGAATGTCGCAGCCGAAATCCCGGGCTTGCGGGCCATCGCCAAGTTTGTAAGTAGCGGCGACGCCTTCGAGAATGTTGTCGAACCTGTTCAGAAGCGGAATCCAGTGATACAGATCACCACGTGGAAATGGCCATCTTGTGGGGAAGCGGTCGAGATGTTGAGGAATCAGCGGTAGAGGGGCAGCAGAGACGGTCTGCACGAAGTCTTTCAACCAAGGGGACTGTAAAAGTCAGCATACCGATCCGAAGCTCAACGGCAACAGCGGGGAAGAAATATATAACTGACCAAGGTCTCCTTGTGTTTGTTCTGCATGGTCTTCGAGATTTTGCCCATGGTGAAGACCGGGGCGGCCAGGCCGCTGAGAAATGAGAAAACTCCCCCTCCACTACCAACAACCTACTGTCGGCACCGACAGCCTGACGTCGCTAATGGAGTGTCTCGGACCTAGACACTCTGTTCTTTATGCGTGGTATCTGAGGTTAAAATCAGAGATTAGTAACGGTCCAATACAATTTGCGTGATCAGGGAAGCTGAGCTATCGCAACTACCAGTGGCGACCGTGCAGCTGCTGGGAAGCCGGCTCGAAGCCAGATAGCAGAGCAGGCGCCGTGGGCTGCTTCGTTTCGGGGAGGAACTGGTGGAGAGTCTTACGGGGATGGATGAGTAGAAATCTTCACCGTGTATACTCCAGACCAGGGGGATCGTGATGCGGCGGAGGGGCGAATTTGTCGTGCCACCCAGTTGGGAGATGCGAGAGGTGGGAGATGAAGCTTGGGTCAGCCGAAAAAGACCGGGGACGAGTGCAGGTCGTCAAGGGTGCTTTTCTTGCCGTTCCACGGTGCGAGTGAAACCGTGGCATCCAACGTGATGGATTATCACCGAAGTAGGAGTATTCCGTGGTGAGAATGCCGACTGATTACTCCGGATTCAGGTGTTGAGGATGAAGATCTCAAGTTGCTAGTGAGGTGAGGTGTTGGTGGTGCAGAAGTTGAAGGTTTAGCAGGAGCCCATTTGCGTAATGACGGCAGAGCTAGCTAAAAAAGACGTACCTAAGGTACCCATACGCTAGTACTTTTGAGGGGAGGAAAATCGACCGTGCTTACCACACAGCGCCGAAGCCCACCTGTAGCTAGGGTCTAGCCGGGCTAAGTTCGAGGTTGATCTGTGCCTGGCGCTCGGACCCAGGATGGGGAATATTTGGCTGTCTGGACTCATCAAACACCAACCGACTCGAAAGCTGCAGTGGGCAAACTCAAAGAGAAGCCTGACCTCCCTCCCACATAATAACCCAGGTACGATTACCAGAGCCGAGCCCTAAGCTACCGGTACCGACTCTACCGGAAGTGGTTATGGCCCTCTTTCTCTCGTGCCGTGGACACGACAGCTCAGTCTTGATTTCTACTCCGTACAATCAAGCCCTCTCCAACTACAGCCCATAGCTTGCCTTTGTAGAAGGCAAACGCGGCCCATGAGCCGCTTATTTGCTCCTCAGGTCGAAGGCTACGTCGCTTCCTTTGTATGCACTCGCGTCTGACTTTTTGCCGAGTGAGATAGCAGAGCAACCTGGTTTGAGCAAGTCTGGTCAGGCACGCACCTACTCCGGAACCCCGAACAGATTGAGTTTAGAAACACGAGTCGTTTAAATGATGAAAGAATGACAAAATGAGACCATATGGCCCTCTTCACGCTGAAAAATCTAACAGAATATCTATTCGTCAGGTCACTCCTCAAGTAAATCAAACGTATGGCTCCGATCAATGATGCTGGTGACCCCGTGTCATTTCGTGTTCAAATGTTCTAAATTATATTGATTCCGGACCGGCACCGGCCTCCGTGTTCTGACTGGATCAAACTTGACTCCCGCCCCGGCAAAAGTACGTCTGTCGGCTTATGACTAATCAGTCTCGCTCCCACATGGCTTGGCCTGAAAGTGCTTTAGGGTTCAGAGTTAGTGCTGTAAATTTCGAGCATCTCCGGGTTTCTCAAGGGCCTGCAGGTGTCAACACAGAATCGCGCGGCGGTCCGAAAAGAAGGCCAGTTTCGCTGTGCTGTATTGCTGCGCCACAAATAATTAGCCCCAACAGTCGTGTGGCGCAGTAGAATTTTGATCAGACGAGCTGATTGGATGAAAACGAAAATAAAAGAATCTGGTTGGATCAAGAGCCCTGTGGAGACGTTTTTGCCGCGCCACTTTTGCATTTCAGAAAGGCATCTAATCCACCCGGGCAGTCGTACCTCATACTGCATCTCTCTGTCACAATTCTTCATCATAAACAACGACCTACAGACTGTGATTCTCTTATTCGAAATCTAGACATATCCTTGTCATACTATGGATCCCTCTATGGAGCCCTGGCCCCATGAGATAGGCTTCTATTGGCTCACAGCGATTGCGACTGCTGGTTACAAACTCCAAACTTCATGGGGCATCCCCGATCTGATCGGCATGTTCAGCCCTGAGACGATACCGGTCTTGCAATTCCTAGAGGCATTCTCATACCTTTTCGTGATAGCTACATATGGGCTAGTCTTCCCATTAGCACACATGCTGTTCCCGAGCAAACAGAAACAAAAGGATTTATGGAACGACCGAAGGGGCCTATGGGGGTTCCTAACTATCTTTTGGTTGACATTCTGCCTGGTACGTTAATCAATACTTCCTTCTTTTGAGCGTTCTTAGGCAGGCATCAAGTGTAGATCTAATCTTGGGTTGTAGTGTCGTACCTTTATTTGCTACGTGGAAATGGCGATGGATAAATGAAGGAGCTGGATATTAGAATGAGTGCATAGCAATAATGGCAGAAGGAATGGAGATTACTTTGCAGGAAAGCACTGGGAAATACTTTGCTCAGTCAAGTTCAAACCTCACTCAATTCCCAGGCAACTGCATTTGGTGTGTTCCATGCCTAGAAGATACCTACTCTGCCTCGATACTCTCCCTACTTTGTTTCCCATTGTTTCCCATTGGCAATACAAGTCGACAAGTTGGTTCCAGACTAATACTCCACCCCGGGACGACGAACATTCATTTTCGTTCTTCATTCAGTGTTGCAACTTGAGACCTTTCGATGCTGTCGACCTCCCTTTCTCAGGTACCGCAGTAGGTATCTCAGCTAGGCCCCTGCTCCTGCCCAACCTCATCCTGTGGTAGATCTTGCTGCAACTTCCACCCTTTTCTCTCGTACTTGCCTCCATTTGTATTGTCCAACTTATGAAGGAAACTATGCTTGAAGTTCCTTCTTGCAATTTCTCATTCCACGCTGTCCCTTAAAGGGCTTCACTCTCGGCGTTCTGATGCTTCTCATCTCTCTCTTCTTTTCTTCTCCATGTCCTCCCAGCCTGGTCATCATGACTGCAAGTCCGTACCTCTTCGAGCTCTCAGCTCTTCTCTATCTCTGGGTTGTTATGCCCGTGCTACACTATCAAATTGACCCCTTTCTATGTTGGTTTTTCAACATAGAGGTGATCCATGATCACCCGGTTGCGCCACGGACCGTAGGGAGAGGACTTGCCCACCTGATCGTGACAACCCCCCTTATCGGGCTGTGGCATTTCCTTTCAGTGTAGGACCTGGTCCTATTGGCAGGTCCCGGCTTGACATCCCGGCCTGCGCATTGTCTCTACTGGGTGTAGGCTCATAGACGACACTAATTTTTTGTTTAAGCTTTCTCTTCGGAGATGATATCCATTTTTTCATTGGACTCGTTGCTTGATGCAATGATCTGAAGAAGGAATCCCTTTCCTTGTATTTTCCTGTAGCCTTCTGTCCATCTTGCCATGGTTGCCCTTGCTGGGTCCTTGAGCGATTGTAGCCTCCGATGCTGGAGGATGGGATTCAGAGCATTATAGAGTCCGGATCTCCGTTTTCAGAGTAAACGGTGCTGAATCATGATGTGGGCTCACTTTGTCTAAATTGGGCTGTCCCGTGGGTGCGACGCTTTGTAGCACTTTGCTAAAACATCCAGTTTCTGTCTTCTCAAGTCACTCATGTGGATCACTTTTGTGTCTGCAGGACGACCGAAAGAGTCTACGGATCTAGCGGCCGTGGGACGCCTGGCGACTATACTACGCGGAACCTATCTACGGAAGGCGAATCAGCAGCAGAAACGAGCTGTCTAGATCGCGGGCTTGTGCCCACTTGGATGTTTTCTCTTGAGCAGCGAGACGGGTCACTGTGATGGCCAATGTAGTCTGCAGCAAAGAACCCCCGAGCCTATCCTCTCGATCCAGGACGCAAAAAAAGAGAACTTGTCAATATGGATCGCGGGCCCACACGAGTCCCGCCTCACGACTTTTATGGGCAAAAGCTCAAGCTCAACATCGACCAGACGGGTGGGGCATTCCTCGCCGTACATGCATGGGTAGGTCATCAACCTTCAGCGCTGGAAGGGAGCATTGAGGAACACACGGATGAGGCTGCGACCGTTTGAGCCTATAGCCATGCCCAGTTAAATTACCCATCGAGTTCAATTCTAAGAATTTCTCTGTAGCACTAGCACATATCTTGGTGGAATGATCGAAAATTAGACATGCCGAGGCATTCGATGTCATAGATACTGCCATAAGGGAAGATAGTGAGCGGTCTCCGGAAGTCACTGTAAGCTTTGATCACAACAAGTCAAGACCGCATCGCTGTCCGAGAGAAAGATGTTGTCACGTCATGATGTCTCTTCGAGATTTGCTGTCTTGAATTTTTGATGCCATGAATACAATCGCGATGGTATAGCGATTAACCGCCACTCCTTGAGCCTTTTCCCAAATGCAAAACCGAATCCATTACGAAACGCCTGAAGTCTACTTGTGCATAGAGCTTGCTCGTCGCTTGCGGAGATCGGCCTTCTGTGCCTTGGCCTCAGCAACGCGCTTGGCCAGGATCTGAGCGTACTCGTTCTGTGTGGTGATGTCAACGTTAGCCTGTATGCTCGCACGGAACGTTTGCCTTGTTTCCACTTACGGCCTCGTCCTTGACCTTCTCAGCCTGGCGGCGCTTGAGTGCGATCCGGTGACGCTTGTGCTGGAGACGCTGGGGGGTGACGAGTCTCTGGATCTTGGGGGCCTTGGTGTAAGGCTTCTTGCCCTCGCCCTTGGGCTGGACTTCACGTCGAATGACGTACTTTCGGACCTGTTGTGGTGCAAGAGCAGCCATGATTAGCCTTGCATATTCCCTTGTGCATTTTCCTTCCCATCACTCTCACACTCTACCCGAACTGCTCGATTCCTAGCACCGCAGTCCTCGGGTAGGCGAAGACGGGATGGTACGAGATGATACGTACATCGTCTTCCTTGGTGAGGCCGAAGAACTTTCGGATCTTGGTGGCGCGCTTGGGGCCGAGGCGCTTGGGGTGGACAACGTCGGTCAGGCCGGGGATGTCCTGCTCGCCCTGCTTGACGATCGACAGGGCAAGGACGGAGAGATCCATGCCGACGATGCAGCCGCGGACGGACTTGCGCTTGCGCTCACCGGTGCGGCGGGGGCGGTAGCAAGAGTGGCCGTCGGAGAGGAGGAGTCGGACACGGACGGGTTGGAGAACGCCCTGCTTCATCGGGAAACCCTGCTTGTCGTTTCCGCCGGTGATCTTCACAATGTAGCCCTTCCACTCGTCGCCAATGGAGTCGGCGGGAACCTCAGCACCCATCTGTAGGCACATCAAAAGTCAGTGAACAAGAGTCGAGATCATCCCGGCGGAGCACTGCACCAACCCTCTTCTCCATGAAGACGCGCAGCTTGCGCTCATCCTCAATCTCAATGAGCTTCTGGGCTCCGGTGGCCGGGTAGCTGACGTTGAGCTTCATCGCGAAAGATCTGTGCTGGTGATCCCTCGGTGGTGTTGGGTGATGAAGTTCGTTCGTCGGTGTTGCGAATCTGAAAAAAAGGGCCCAACCAAAAACTAGAGAAAATTGATTGTGGCCCGGCTTAGGGCAGAGAAAAAAGAGAGGTGCACTTGAAGGAGGCCCGTGCACGGGCACTTGTCTTTCTCTAAGTGGCCCACAAGGACGATAAATATGGGGCTCGTCCACCCAAGACTTTGAGTGGAGGTCAATCTTTTCCATGAAAACTATCACCTGCCGACCAGCTGCCAAATTCCCTCTGTCTCAACCCCGCCAACTCTTCAGCGCAAATACATGAGCATCAAAGCAATGCGCGGCACAGAAAGAGCGAAGACATGTATGACATTTACAGGGTTGGGGAAAGGCTGGTTGTAAGGATGGTACTCTTCTAATTTTTCGATACATGGGCTATTGGTAAATGACTTTGACCCGTCAGTCATGCGAGACCGCCCGAAATGATGACTGGTCTTGTGCAAGTGTCGGTCTTCAATGAAATCCGTGATATGAGGAGCCAAGCTAGAGGAAATTCAAGAGCTCAAGAAGATCCCACCTTATATCAACTGCCTGTAATTTTTCTGATCCTTGAGCATGTGTGTTAATCCAGGCCTTCTCCTTGAATTAGGCCCTTCTCCACCCCAGGCCAATCTCAGTCGAGAGGCTTGCTGCCATTGAGTGGCCAGTATCTAGTGAAGTCTCTTTTTCTGACTGTGGATGCCCATGACAAACCACTTCTACCTATCTCCAACTCACAGAGTCCGGCAACCGCAATCGCCGAACACCCGTCCTCTCTCCATTATAGACTGATCATACTTCCCAGGTCTTGAGGAAGGACATTTTGCAATGGAGGAAGATAGGGCGCAAGTCGACCTTGGTGTCGCAGCTGATATAGAACAACTGCAGAACGCGCAAGCAATGCCCAAGCAGCCCAAGAAGCGCTTCGTTGGCAGGAGAGCTGCTGCTGAGACTGCAGCGGGCCGCAATGGTAGTGGAAGCACAAACATCGAGGACTCTGGCTCGATACAGGGTAAGTCTCGCTTGCTCCGGCATGCTCCCCAGAATCTGCTGCTTACATTGATTCGGCAGTGGCACAGTCGAGGCGGGCGCCCAGGCTCCTGAACCAGGTGCCGCCGGAGATATTGAACGACCCGGAACTCAAGGCTGCTATAGCACTCTTGCCCGCGAATTATTCGTTTGAGATCCCCAAAACAATCCACAAGATACGCACCTTGGGGTCCAAGAAAGTCGCCCTCCAGATGCCCGAGGGCTTACTGCTGTTTGCCACGACTGTGTCCGACATCTTGCAGCAGTTCTGCCCGGGCATCGAGACCCTCATCATGGGGGATGTCACTTATGGAGCCTGCTGCATAGACGATTACACTGCGAGAGCCATGGGCTGCGATCTGCTGGTGCATTACGCGCACAGCTGCCTGATTCCTGTGGATGTCACCAAGATCAAGACGCTTTATGTCTTTGTCGACATCAGCATCGACACTTCACACCTGCTCGCAACTCTAGAGAGAAACTTCTCTCCTGGAAAGACCATAGCCATGGTGGGCACGATCCAATTCAACGCTACCATCCACGGGGTCAAGTCGACCCTGGAGAAGGCTGGCTTCAAGATTCTGGTCCCCCAGATCGCGCCCCTATCCAAGGGTGAGATTTTAGGTTGCACGTCGCCCAACCTTTCGACATTTGCGCCGGATATGAAGGTAGACATGATTCTCTACCTTGGAGATGGGAGATTCCACCTCGAGAGCATCATGATCCATAATCCCGAGATCCCTGCCTACCGCTACGACCCTTACTCACGCAAGCTCACCCATGAGGCCTATGGTCACGAGGAGATGCAGGACCTGCGCCGAGAAGCAATCAAGACGGCCAAAGGAGCGAAGAAATGGGGACTGATCTTCGGTTCCCTCGGCCGGCAAGGCAATCCGAATACCTTGATGCTGATAGAGAAGAAGCTGAGCCAGATGGGCATCCCGTTCATCAACTTGGCACTGAGCGAGATCTTTCCCGGAAAACTGGCCATGATGAGCGATGTGGAGTGCTGGGTGCAGGTCGCATGCCCGAGGTTGAGCATTGATTGGGGCTACGCCTTCCCAAGGCCGTTGCTGACCGCCTACGAAGCGCTGGTCGCTTTGGAGGAGAAGGAAGACTGGGGCAAAGGCGTTTATCCCATGGATTATTACGCAAGGGAAGGTCTTGGGAGGACGAAGCCAGCAGTCTCGGTGCTGGCAGCCACTTAGGATTAGTTGCTGAACTATGAAGATACCCCTATTTTATTTTCCGAGAATCGGTGACCCAATGTCGAAGCCTCCTTGCCTTGCCTCCGTGGTCTCTATCCGCATAAGACTCGCAAAACCCAAGCTTCTCGCTGGACGCAGAATCTATCTTGAGACAGGGGCCCGAACGGAGCCTGACTTCGCCATTTGTATTCTTGACCGTGCTCATCATGAAGCTGGTGTTCCCACCGGTTCCGGCCTTTGCGAGAACATCAACTTGTATTTTACAATCTCCACCACCTCAAGCTCCTCCACCCGGTCAGCGTCCTCCTCCTCCGTGGCCGTGGCCGACGCAGGCACCCCATCGGCACCCTTTCTCCTAATCACAGCGAGTGGCTTGGGCAGCTTCTTGACTTCCCCGGTCAGCCTTTGGTGCTGGCCGACATACATGTACACCCTCTTCATCCACGCCGTGCTTGATGGGTCCAACGCATCCTCGCGGTAGTCTGGGAAGTCCAAGCGGCCAATAGGTACAGCAGAACCTTGTTGTGATACACCGGAGCCCCCAGTATCCTCGCCACCCGGGAGGTTGATGGTGCCTTGCAATTCGAGCAAAGCGAGTCCTACAGGTGTTTGCAGGAGTTTGGGCAGCGGGTTCGTGGTGCGAGCCTCTTCTTCGGCTGGGCGCTTAGGATGGAGGCTAACTGCCGACATCTTTCTTGGGCTCTTGGTAGACTGATCTCTCTTGAATCAGCGGCTGCGGACTAAGCGGCCCGATGAGTGAGGGACATGTAGCCGCCTTGCGACGGGTCGAGTTGAGAGTCCAAGAAAATGGGAGGCTGGTCTGATCTTGGAGATTGAGATGCACGCTGTTGTTGCCCTGGTATACAGCCGTGTGTTGTGGAGTTGACCTGATTCTTATGGATACAGCGTCGAATTGAGAGAATGAGGCTGTTCGAGCACCAAATATTCAACCTGTGCATCGGAGTTTGGGATGATTTGCTGATGAATTACCCCGAAGACAGGTGTTCAAACTAACGGGTTCTTGAGTGAAGCCAGCGTGGAGAAGTGGCTCTGCTAAGACCACGTTGGGCACCCGTTTTGCATCCCTCTCCAACGTTTGTTCACCAACGAAGATAATGGTTGAGAGTGCGCACTGAAAACCTTATGGACTAAATAAATGCATGTTTATCTGATTTCATCCTACAGTGCAACCCGTTGATTTTATCCACACAGCCTCCAACAACCTTCGTCAAAATGCTGTCAAGAAATTTCGCCTCCGACGGCAAGATGCCCGAATTCATCATCGTGACCATTCACAGACCGTACATCTTTCGCGCACACTGGTTACTCTGACGAATTGCCTATGACTACAGCGACATCATCACGCGGGAACGAATATGCTCATATGTAGATATATATATACATTTACAAATGCGAAGACACTTCTACCAGTTCTAAGCTGTCAGCGCCGAAAACGTGCATCATCATATAGGGGGTTCATCGTCATCTCAACAAACGTCCTTCCGTAATGAGGCCATCGCCCACCCCTCGGGTTCCATTTCGCCGACACCAAAGTGAACGCCGATCCATGATCTGCGAGCCGTAGGAGCCACGGTTCCTGCGACACCCGTATCCAACTTTGTTACCATCTCAGAGGAAGGCCCTGAAATTTCCACATCCAACCATTGTCGGATGGAGGAGCAAAGGCAGTGATATGCTGCTTTGGGCTTCAAATCTCAAGGCGATGACTGACACGAAGCCAGCGAGAGTGGCTCTAGAGGTGCCGCGCCTAGGCCGTCGACGTTGTGTTACTCTTCGTACAGCTTCGCGGCATGTCTATCTCGTATGGCGGCAAGTGAACAGGCAGTCCATGGCCTTTTCCGAGGTTCACCGCTACCCGTGGCAGACACCTCGGCAAGCGGCGTGAGGTCAATACCTTCACTTAATTCTCTGCCCTCGGCGAATCGGGTTTGATAACCCCCGATGCGAGGGAATCCCGGGTGGTGCTAGGCCCGGTGGGAAAGTTGAAGTTTTTCTCTTGCTCAACTGGCAGACAGCCCTGTCTGGGGCGCCTGCTTATAATGCCTTACTCAATGAGCGGCTTTTTCTGGTCACCGACCATGCAGAGGCCAAGGTGACGTAACGAGTCATGGTCGTTGGCCAGGACAATAACTCTGGCTGGCAGCATTGGGTTGTTGGGATCGACGTGGGATGCGTCCTTAGCCGCCTGCTCGATAGCATCCATCTCTTCTTTGCACGCTTGCTGGTCGTATGGACAGATGACGATGGGCTGCCGCAGAGTGATATCCCTGGCTGAACTCATTTGGGCCTAGAAGAAACGGTTAGCTACACCTAGAGCCTTTCTGTAGATCAGAGGATCGGGTTATCTACCTTGATCGTCAGATAGAACTCAATCTTATAGAGTGTCGATTGCGTGGTAAATGAGGTGCACTCGTATTGCGGGAAGCTGGGCTTGCCCCTCCGTACAATGCCTTCGGGATCTCTTAGATCTCTCGCAGGGAAGACGAGGCCAAGGTTGGTGACGTAGCCCGCCTCTGGCATTTTGGTCCCTACGGGCTGGACATGCCTCGCGATTTTATTGACTTTCTTGGTCGGCTCATCGCCTTCTGGGTTGTATGTGATCTCCTCTTCGATGGTAAGAGTGAGCTTTTGTATGGTCACGCGCTTTGCTTTGTTCATCCAGTCCGGATTAGGAGCCAGCTTGATGTAGACGGTAATTGGATCGAGGGGTCCGTAGCTCCAGCGTGGCAGCGAGATCGCCAAAGTCACGATGTTGTCTGTCGTGACCACTTTTGATTCTGGACGGTTGTACATGCCGAACGTGGACAAAGTGTCGTATCGCTGCAGCGGTATGGGAAAGGCGTATTTGTTCTGGACGCTGGCGCCCTGCTGGACGGTGACTACCAGCTCATAGAAAGTCTCGGCGGTCCTGCTCGGTAACTGCAACGAGGCTGGGGGTATCCTCCGGTTTGTCTCCTCACCGCCGCGTCCGAAGGGGATGAAGAGGACAAAAGGGAGATCCATTACGATGACGTTCTCCGACTCTTTGCCGGCGGGGCACCTGAACAATAACAGCTCCTTCCCAACGACGTCGGTGGTCTCCCGCCTCGGTGTTCCCAAGTGCTTCTTGGCGACATTGTCGGCGGCCGGATGGATGGTTTCTCGTCGCTGTAGACATATCCTCACGAGGGAAACGGCAACCGGGGCAGAAAACCCTTGGGAAGGGCGGATCTCGACCTTGCCTTCGATGCGCGGCTACACATGAGAAGAAAGAAGTCAGTATCGAGAGGCGCAACACAGCGTTGCTTCGCAATTGCAACGCTCGGGGGGAACACTTACCAGCGTCGCCGATATACCAGGGTAGCCAACCAGGAAATTACTGTTTGGAGGGCCCGAGACTCTCACAAAGGCGGCCATGCTGGCTGTTGCTGGCCTGGATCAACTGCCGTGGGCAAACCCTCCTTTGCGCTTCTTCTGGGCATTTAATGCGTGCCTCTCCGGGGACGAGGCGTCGCAGCAGCAAGTCGAGGCCTTCGAGGCCTGGCGCTGGATGTGGGGTAAGAAGCTATGGTCGCTATCGCGCTTCGGATGGCATGCGATCATTCCGCAGCAGCGCCCTCGCGGCGCATTGTCTTGGTCCGCGTCAAAAGTCGATCGGTCCTGATGGCGGAGGAGGAGGAGATGGGGGGGTATGTCGTAAGCTCGCAGCTGAGCCCTGGGCGAGTCGTGATCGCAAGACGTCAGTGGCCAACGGAGTGGGCGCTGCAAGGAGCTTCAGCTTACGGCCGCCGCCCGCGACTGAGAGAAAGCGATGGTGGAAGCCTTTATTCGAGAGCAGCAAGCAGTTCTCCGCTGTGCGCCGGCGCCGAGATGTGATTGTGTTTGATGAACGCCCTTTTTCCCAGTCTGCCGCAGGTTGGTTGAGCCCCAAAGCTGCAGCCTTAGGTCAGCTCTTGGAAGCAGAGGGTACGGAGTGCGTGCGTGAGGGTCGATCAGCTTTGACTCGGCGCAGTGGGCTTAGTTGGCTCAGTTGGTTAGTGGGAGGGATCCTTCCCGTAGGTGGGAGTGCGGTATGCAATCGACAGACGAGTTACCGGATGCAGGAGCTGGCTTCTCATTGGGCGTGTGACGGCTGGGGTTTGCGTGAGCGTCTGCAACTCGGGGGGGCTCGTGGCATGCGAGGTGTGGACGAGGATGTGCAGAATCCAACCCTTCGCTCCCAAACGCGAGGTCTGCTCTACCCTCCCACTGGTGTTTTTCCTTGTCAGACCAGAGGATGGGGGCCGCTTTAGGTGGATTGGCAGACCAACAATCCAGAAATCCAGAGGTGATCAACGGGCTGCTAGGCTGACTACACCTGGGCTCCAGTGAATAATACCACTTTGGGTGACCACACAACTACGGAATATTACGTCGGAATTTACGAACTTGTTTTTCAAACGCCACCTGAGCCTTTCTTCCCCCGCTGTGTTAATGTGCCTTCAATATTTAGTAGGTACTGCAAAAGGGCGACAGGCTGCTAAGTGGGTTGAGCCCGACCCCACGCTCAGAACTCGAAAAGGCTCTGTAAGCCCAAATTAGCAGAATCGACATCATGCCAGCTTCCGTGGCCCAGTTGGTTAAGGCGCGAGTCTCATAATCTCGAGATCATGGGTTCGAATCCCATCGGGAGCAATTTTTGCCATTCCTACCTGGATAGGTCTTTCTTTTTGCCCTCTTTTCGTCCTTTTCAACACTGACACCAAGCACCAAGATGCACAATGGTTCCGGTACATTACAGAATTTGCCTGTGTTCTCGATACTCATCCCGGCATCTCGCTTCCAAGTGCGGCGAGCAGTGCTGAAGTCCAGCCTGAGGTCTGCTGGAGCAAGGCCCTCGGCTCGCCATACAAGTCGCTTTGTCCCAACAGCACTGCTAATAAGTCGTCGATCCTCCCAAGGTATTATACAAGTAGATAGCTAAGGATTGGAAACTTCGTGGGACTTTACGAAGAGTTTAGCAGAATTAAAGGATTGTTTTGCTTCTTTCTCGTGGCGTGAGATGAACAAGTTGCTTTGAAATACACTTTGAAATACGGCCCGGACTGGGACTGTACTAGAATTAATTTTTTGGACGACATCCGCTTTGAGCATTTGTTGATAAAGTACATCGAATACACCCAGCTCGCCACAACACAACTACGCAACTGATATTGTCAGTGTTTCTAGCACCCTCCTCTAAAGACACGGAATTCGAGAGACACACTAGTCATGTCTGTCACCCTTCACACCAATTTGGGCGACCTCAAGATTGAGGTCTTCTGCGAGAGCGTCCCCAAAGCCGCAGAGGTGAGTTCCACCCGCTACGACGACGCCCACATATTACGAGGAGACTGTCTGACCGCGGCAGAACTTCCTCGCGCTCTGCGCGTCGGGCTACTACAACGAGTCGCCCTTCCACCGCCTCATCCCGGGCTTCATGGCGCAGACCGGCGGGCCGGCGCACCCCTCGCCGCCCGAGAACCCCAAGGGCGGCCGCTCCATCTGGGGCGAGCCGTTCGAGGACGAGATCCGGCCGGCGCTGCAGCACGCCTCGCGGGGGATGGTCTCGATGGCCAACAAGGGGCCCGGCACCAACGGCAGCCAGTTCTTCGTCCTGTTCGACAAGGCGCCGCACCTCGACGGGCTCAACACCGTCTTCGGCAAGCTGCTCGGCGACGACAGCCTGCGCACGCTGGCCAAGCTCGAGGCCGTCGAGGTCGACAAGAAGAACCGCCCCAGGGAGCCGGTCAGGATAGAGAGCGTCACCGTCCATGCCAACCCCCTCGCGGGTTGATCGTTCAGCCGGCCGGCCGGGTGGCATTGAGCACGACTGGGGAGCGACACTCATCGAGCCGCATTCGCACGCTTCGCACACGATGACGGGCTACCACGCAATGCTGCGCGTCTTAAAGATCAGTTGTCGAGGGTGAGGCTTGTATCCTTGTTCGCTTGACTTCGAGACAGACAGACGCGGTGAGGATTGTCGCTATTCCGGACTATCTACATAGCCTGGCACCATCAGGTTGGGTCGAAGCCGGATTCGAGTTTTCGATAGTCTGCTTGGGCACTGGAAAACCTACAGGTTACTCGAGAAAGTTCGACATCACTCATCGTGAAAGAAGTTGACGAGGCACATCTAATTAGTACAGAACCAAAGTACAAGGTTACCAGCCATGGCGCCGCGGAAAGGAAAATCCATCACACTCTAATTCACACCCTCTGCTTGCCAATAGTGTGAAAATCATCGATTCATTGGTTACAGTGGCTAAGCTATGGGTATTCTATCGTGCTCCTTCATTATGAACGCCTCCGAGGAGATTTCTATACGTTTCCAGCCAATGACCAACCTTGAGAAATCCCCAACCCTCTACCCGCGCTGTTGATGTCCTATGGTCATATCCTTTTGTGGGCAGACCACAGCCATGTTCATTATGTACTCTGAAGATGAGCCCGATCAAGGTCATCATAGGTGACAAGATGAGATGTCAAATGCATCTTCGTAGCTCCGGACGACTACGAGACGCGGCGCCGCTTCGAGTTGGAGACGGGCGACTGGTCCAGATCATGGCGTGGGATCTCTTCGGTCCCCGCCGGGCTCGGAGTGTTGGCAGAGCTGTGAGGCTCAGTGGTTCCTGGAACAGGCAGGTTCCCTACCGAGTTTGCATTGCTGTAACCGGGGTCAAGGCTGAAATTAAAATCGGTGCCGTCTGGACCCAGTGCATGATGGCCATGTGCGTCTGCACCGGAAAAGTCGCCGCCGTTGAAGGCTGCGTCGTTGTCGTACGCATCATTCGTGATGAACTGGTCAATGTCAAAGTAGCCCGGTCCCTGCGAGCCCTCGTAATCGAGCCCAGGGATGTGGCCAGAAGGACTGTAGGAGACAAGAAGGTGCGACAAGTCCTCTATCTTGTGCGACTGGTCCGCCGACAGACGTCGTAGCTGCTCGACCTCTTCTGAGTCCTTCTGAAGCTCTGGAAAGGGCGGCGGAATAGACGACTTGAGGAACGGCGAGAGGCTGTTGATAGGAGATGTGCTTGGTGCCGGGTTGGACGCAGCGGCTGGAGCGTGGTTTGCCATGGGAGCCGCGACCGGGGCCTGCTGGCCTGAAGGAGCAGGGGTAGGAGCTGCCGAATGACCTGACATGACACCAACCAGCTTGTTTCGCTGTTCATTGGTCAGGTTCACAGGTGTGTTCGCTGCCATTTCCGGGAGATCGAATGCAGTTGCAGCGGATCCTGCATTGGTTCCGTTGATGATCTTCATCATGCTCTCTTGGGGGTTGGATTGGAGTTCGTGTCTCAGATAGTCCGGCGTCGGGGCTTCGGAAGGGGTGTCGTAGAGCTCTGTAACAGTGCCCGTAGGCCCAACTGTGCCGGTCCGATACGGTGCAGCTTGAGGGTTGGTCGTCCCAGGCACTGAAGGTGGGTTGCTGCCGGCGCGACCCTGCTGTGGGATAGGTGGCAGGAGCCGCTGCTGCCTCCTCGGGGTAGCTGTCGGGTTAGGCGCAGGCGATGGCTGATGCTGGAACGCTTCACTAAAGTCGCCGAGATCAACAACGCTGCCTTTGGGGATTTGAGCGTTGGGGATGATGGAGGCGAGGAGGTCCTGGACACCATTCTGGGCGCCCTGGTCTTCTAGTGACTTCCTAAAGACATTTGCTAGAAAGTTCAGGATCGCGTTGATAGAGTTCTCGTGACGCTCATGCATTGTCTGGAAGGCAACAGCCTGTTGGTAGAGCGCATTATGATCGTTGCGCAACTTGGAAATGATGCCCGACATTGTCTTCTGCTGTTCTTGCAGAGATGCAATATGCTTGCCGATGCGCTCCAGGTCCGCTCTGTGCAACTGAACGAAATCGGATGCGGGAGGGAGGCTTCTGGGTCCCGGCGTCTGCGCTGGCGGGTATGTCTGCGGAACGGCCTCATCGACAACTGCCTCGTCTTCGCTGTCGCCATCCCGGGGCTCCTCCTTCTTGGCGCTTTGGTTCCCTCTCTTACTAGACTTTGGCTTGTTGATCAACCAGAGGAGATTCGGATGGCCCCGCCTAAAGTAGGGGTTGACATATTCGCTCGGGCTCTTGTTCTTTCGCTCGCTGGCCTTCATGGAATTATCGGAAAGACCAACCCGCTTATGAAAGCCGTACATATTGAGCTGTCTCACGAATGAGGCGTAGTTGTTGTGCTTGAAAAGTTCCGGGATAAGGGTCCTGGCAAACTCATCCTCATCGAGGACGATGAAAGAGTCGCCCTTGTCGGACCACCGAATCAGATCAGTATTCTTCTGCTCCTCGAGGTAACTGAATCCTTGGTTAGTATTGAGCAGCCTTCTGGCTTGAAGAAAAGACATGCGGCATACCTGCTTAGTTTCTGCACGAAGGGAGGGATAGATTTTCGAGATTTCTGTGCCTCTTGCTTCACCTGCCGTGCCTTTGCTTCCAAAGCCTCGATGTTGTCACTGTCATCGACGGCCTCGTTCGAGGTTGAGGGGGTTTCGCCGTCCGCGTCAGTGTGAAACGTCCAGGCATTAGAAGAGCCATCATAGGGAGGCAAAGAAGGCCTGGTGGGCACGAGAGCTCGATTCGGGGCCCTGCGCGCGATCGCGGTAGATGTCGACATCTGGGTTGGTGCTGGATTCTGCTGGAATCCTTGGGCATACTGTGGTTGTGCGTTCAACATATACTGGCTGACATTCGCGGCGGGGTCGATGTAGGTGCCACTGCCATCCGGAAGTGCTGCGTTCCAGCCCAGCAATGGGTCTTGAGGGGATATAACAAATGGTTGCTGGGTTTGAGGCATGGCCATCGCTGGCGCGGCTCCTGGCGCGGGCCGTTTCCTGGGGTTTGGGGCTGACATGGCGACGTTGGGAAAGTCCAGAGTAAAGTTGAGATTGCTAGGCGGTACAGGAAAGAGCGCAATAAGGGTTTTTCGCACGGACGGCGCAGGTTGCCTAATGGGAAGTTGCCTTTCGGAGTCTGGGCGCGAGCCTCGTCGGGCTGCTTGCTGTAGCTTCGGTGTGGAATACGTTTGGTGAAAGCCTGATATCAGGATGCGACGCGAGGTCGGATCGGGTTCTCGACCGGGGAGAGAATTTGGGTGCGGAATACGAGAGAGCCAAATTGGCGGTCTGGCAACGATTTAAACGAGGTTTTATATGCTGCTCTTGAAAAGGTGGCTTCTCAAGACTTCATGTGGTCGAGTCAGCGACAATAGGGTTGATGACAATAGTGTTGACCACAATAGCGTTGGTCGTCAATTGTTGCGGGGTTGGAGTTCACACCAGATGCGAGAGTGTCGGTACAATAGCGACGGGTATTTGGACAATAGGAACAATGGCACATTCGGTTCTGAATCGGCCCTCAGCGCAGCGTGACGATTGAACAGACGCTTTGCGGTCAGAGCATGCGGCGTCTCGACAGCGACTTTTCACCAAGGTTCGGCCGCGGTCGGCGCGGCGGCGGAGGAACGTAGAAGGCCTCGAGTGTTGTCTAGAGAAAACAGCTGGCTCTGAATGGACGGTTTCGATGTTCCAGCAGCCGTCGCTGCGCGGCAAATCTGGTCGTGTTGTGATCGCGAAGGACCTGTCACGAAGCCGAAAAGATCAATTCGTTCAGTACCTAGGTAGGTATATGTCTGCGGCTCGCCCAGATTGACAGCGCAACCTCCAAAAGGCGGGACCTATTTTTTATGCCTGATGTAAGGTCTACGTTAGTGGGCCTCCAGGACGCCCGGTCTGTCTAGTCCGGCAGCCTACCAGGTATCGCTAATGAGATAATTGATCCACGCGCTTAGTCAAGGCAAGGCATGGATTTAAACTTGGGAGGTTTCGGTGGGGCAGGTCAAGTGCTGTTACGATAGTCTTGGCATCATGCTTTGGGCTCAAAACCCAAGAAGCTCCACACGGTTCTTCTCACTGGGCCAATGAGCTATCAGTTTCGACATGAAGCTATCCAGAGCATCGAATGTCCATAGAATCTTCGATCGCTTGCTGCAAGTTGGCAAGTTAGCTGTATGTACAAATAGAGCAAGCAAGACCTGGGCTGCTAATACCTTCACGTCACGAGAATAGGTCCATACGAGATTACGATGGCAGCGTCGGACTAATTTATCGTAGGGGTATCATTTGGTTTTGTACTTGTACAAGAGATATTCAACTACCACGTCGCCGCATGAAGCTATTTAGCACCGCGACCGGCAAGAGCCGATGCCCTGGCCAATTGCGCGTTCTTGGCCTGATCCCAAGCCCTGCCTGAACCTCCTTGCTTCGAATCCCTTGATCCTCTCTTCTCCTCCTTGAGATTCTTGGCCTTTTCGCGAGGGTCGATCACGATCAGCTCTTCCTCCGCCTTCTTTCTGTAGCTGAGGTCTTTGCCCAGCTTGTCCGCAGCAAAGCTCAGGGTGTGCGACATCCAGCCTTCATCATCGCTATCTTCTTTCCCTTCAAGCTTATCCCAGGACTGACAGCTTTGGCAATTTGCTATAAAGTGCAGGTCGCATACCTCGCCCTCCTCATCGTCATCTGCCTTCTGTCCCTCCTCCTCTAGCTTCGCGGCCAATGTCGCGCTTTCCTTGGGAGCCGGAGCCTTTTCGAGGCGGGATTGAAAGGCCCGAAGCATATTAAGAGTCTTCTTTTCCTCGGCAGCTGAGAGATTGGTTGCCCCGGGCCGTCGTTTCTTCCCTCTTGTCGACGTCTCCGGTATGAGTGCTTCAAACGCAGACTTTTTCCTTTCCTCCTTGACTGGCTCGGCGTGGACTGTGCGCTTCATAGATGCCTTCAATGCTGCTATCTCCTCGTTAGTTTGCTCCAGAAGAGTTTTCTTCCTCGGAGCTTCAGGCTCGGCTTCTGGTGACTCGGATCCATCAGAGAAGCCGCGCGGCTTGTCGTTCCTGACAGGCAGGTCTCTTTTCGGCGACGGGCTAGGGCTATCGCGTCGTCGGTGGGCAGTTGCCCCCGTTCCGGCTCCGTTCTGAGGTCCGCTCGAGTCTTTCTTGGTCGCCTTCTTCTTTGACAACTTATCTTGACGTCGGTCGTCCTCCTCCTCCACATCCTGCACGATTCGTTTGTCGAATTTTGGCTTCTTGAGAACTGGCAAGTCCTCTCCGCCTTCTTCTTCGTCGTCACCAAAGCTCAGAAGCTGTTTCCCGCCTTTACGCTTCTTCTGCTTCTTGGCAGGGCCTGCTGCCTTGTCCGTCCGCTGGGCTATCCTTTGTCTCTTCTGCATGTCCTCAAACGGATTGACCAAGATTTCTACGCCAGTGATCTTGATTGGATACAGGGGTCGGTCGCTGCCCTCCTCAAGTTCGGATTCACCAATCTTGGCCAGATTGTAGATGGTGTCGCCCACCACGCGCCCGAATAGAGTGTTCTTCCCATTGAGCTCCTCGGTCTTGTCCAGTGTGAAGAAGAATTGGCTTCCGTTCGTATCCGGGCTGCCTTCATTCGCCATGGCCAGAAGTCCTCGGCGGTTGAACTTCAAGCGTGAGTGAAATTCGTCCTTGAAGTTGACCCCCATGGGGCCAGCGTTTCGCTCTCGCCGCTCGTCCATCGGCCATGGATCGAGATCACCACTGAAAGCTCCGCCATCGTAAATGGATTCACCCCCGTTGCCCGTGCCGGTCGGATCGCCTCCTTGGAGAATGAACCCGGGGACGAGACGATGAAAGATTGTGTCGTCATAGTAGCCATCGAGGGCAAGCTGTAGAAAATTGCGACAGGTGAGTGGTGTTTGCTTGGCGAAGAGCTCGACTGATATGTCGCCAAGCGTGGTATGTACAATCACAGATGCTGTTGGCTGTGGCTCGGTGTTGTAGATGGCCGACATTTTGAACGGTACCAGCCAAAGTGCTTTCGGGCGGCGTCGATGTCCCTTTCAGTCTCAACCGCCACTATGCTCAGCTCGAGCTTGAGGCGGGGGATAGATGTCGGTTCTTCAAGTCGGACTCGACCTGTAGCAAGTTCTGGGTGGGTTTAAAAAGTACGGTAGGTAGTTACTTCAAAAGAGTCCCGTCGGTCCTGGCATGGAGCAGTGTGGGGCGTTTAAGGTCGAATTTGTAGAAGTAAGTACCTACGTAGTAGCTGGCCATTGCGAACCGTGAGGCTCAATCAGTGCCCGTACCAAACGCCATGCTATCTGCTTGCGTCATGTGATAGGACAACCAGCCAGACAGGTAGCGCAACCCAACACTGGAGGAGACCAAGCGCGGCGGGGCCACCTTCCAGAGCTGTGCCCCCAGCCCGGTACCACAGAACCTGGCCAGCCAGCTTGAGCGGTTCAGGATTCGCTGCATGCTTCCCTGAAACGCCATAGCTCCCAAAGCTCTCATAGTCATCATCCTTAAACCACACCCTGCATCCAACCGCCCTGCCGACTTCTGTTTCTTCTGGGGCTTCCAACCGACTCTCAGGACGGGGCTCAACTTTTTGTCGAACGAGGACGCAGCCGCGATAGCAGCCGCGGCACTTGCACACAATGGCTGACCCAAGAGAATCGTCATCGTACTCGGTGCATCCCCGACTTCGCTACAACACCGTTGGTGGTGTCAACGGGCCCCTCGTCATTCTCGACAACGTATGCCCAACCCTCACTTCGCCCGTCCTGCCTGTGTGCTAACACAGTCTTCACAGGTCAAATCGCCCCGATACAACGAGATCGTCACCCTAACTCTTCCCGATGGAACAGAGCGCTCCGGCCAGGTCCTCGAGGCTCGAGGTATTTATTCCCGTCTCCAATACTCTTCCTAGACGTTTGCTGACATGTATCCCTAGGCGACCGAGCCGTGGTGCAGGTATAATGCGCCGCCATTCAGAGAATACCGATCATGTCACTAAAGATTCGACTAGGTTTTTGAAGGCACCTCTGGTATCGACGTTAAGAAGGTATGCAATGACAACGGACCGACTGTTACATGGCAATAATCTAACCGGGCTGCTTTAGACAAGAGTCAAGCTCACGGGCGAGAGCTTGAAGCTTGGTGTCTCCGAAGACATGCTCGGCCGCATCTTCGACGGTTCCGGTCGAGCTATTGATAAGGGTCCCAAGGTTCTAGCGGAAGAATATCTTGACATCAACGGCAGTCCCATCAACCCGTATTCAAGAGTACGCAATCAATACTGACGGCTTGGAATCCTGTCGCTAACTGTGCCTAGGTGTATCCCGAGGAGATGATCTCGACGGGTATCTCTGCCATCGACACAATGAACTCGATTGCTCGTGGCCAGAAGATCCCCATTTTCTCCGCCTCTGGTCTGCCTCACAACGAGATCGCCGCCCAGATCTGTCGACAGGCTGGCCTCGTCCAGCGCCAGGGTGTCACGAATAAGGGTGTTCACGATGGCCACGAAGAGAACTTCTCCATCGTCTTCGCTGCTATGGGTGTCAACCTGGAAACTGCTCGCTTCTTCACGAGAGACTTTGAGGAGAACGGTAGCTTGGAGCGTACTACCCTGTTCCTGAACCTTGCCAATGATCCCACGTATGTCCCCCCTCCTGCACTGATGGAGAAGATTGAGGCTAAACCGTGAATATAGGATCGAACGTATCATCACGCCTCGCTTGGCACTCACAACAGCCGAATACTATGCCTACCAGCTGGAGAAGCACGTCCTGGTCATCCTCACTGATCTCTCTGCTTACTGCGATGCGCTTCGTGAAGTTTCCGCAGCTCGAGAAGAAGTTCCAGGTCGTCGCGGTTTCCCAGGTTACATGTACACCGATTTGTCTACTATCTACGAGCGAGCCGGTCGTGTTGAAGGGCGCAATGGTTCCATCACGCAAATTCCGATTCTCACCATGCCCAACGACGATATCACTCATCCTATTCCTGATCTTACTGGTTACATCACCGAAGGTCAGATATTCGTCGACCGAGGTCTTGATAACCGCGGAATCTATCCGCCCATCAATGTCTTGCCGTCGCTCTCACGTCTGATGAAGTCAGCCATCGGCGAGGGTATGACTCGGAAGGATCATGGAGATGTCTCTAACCAGCTGTACGCGAAGTATGCCATCGGCCGTGATGCGGCCGCGATGAAGGCTGTCGTCGGCGAAGAGGCCTTGTCTGCTGAGGACAAGCTGTCGCTTGAATTCCTGGACAAGTTCGAGCGCACTTTCATCAACCAAGGGCCATACGAATCTCGAACCATCTATGAATCGCTGGACCTGGCCTGGAGCTTGCTGCGTATCTACCGCAAGGACATGCTGAACCGTATCCCAGCCAAGATCATCAACGAGTACTACCAGAGGACGGCAGAGCACCGCAAGGGCAAGGGTAAGGCGCACGCACAGGAACAGGACAAGAACCGGGAGGAGGAGAACCTGATCGATGCATGAGGTTGTCAGTATGGATCTCTTTGATTGGGTTCGTGGTGGCGCTCGCTAGGGGCGTCAACGGGCAGTTGCAGTTGCTTCGACTCTGGTTGGTACATGCCATGTCCTCGTTCTCGCATGCCGTGGATTTCTGTCATTGTTAGACCACGGCTAGGTTCACACGATTTTCGGGTGGAAGTGCAGAGTGTAATTCCAAGCATTCATTTGTGTTATAGATCATGCGTTTGACAAGATATCAAGCTATATCACTGCCTGTTTCACATGCGAGCTTTGCTTCTCTTAAGAGTAGTAGAGCAAATTTGCTTGCTTCTGTTCGGAAAGGTGTGCTCTCGACATTGCTAGGGCCGCTGCAATGGGGGTCTTTTGATCGCTATGCTACGTAATGCGGTGCGATACTACTGCATCGAGCCTGGTGACTCGTTCGCCCGAGAACGGTGTATGCAACCTTCCAAAAGCGTTCTAGCATGTCCGGGAAGCTAGGAACGGTGAAAGGCACAGCTTGGCGCCATGGTGACGCACAAATCACCATGCAGTTGAGCGACATGGATCTGTCCGGGGTGGGCAGTCTGTCTGCAAAATCTACGTTGGAATGATGTCTTCTGTTGGGTTGCCTGCATTTTGCATCCTCCTGAGGATGCCTGCGGTGACTCCGCACAAAAGGAAAAAGGTAATTGGCTTTTGGTTACCAATTGAACGACACTGGATCCTCACCACCATTATCACGTTGTCAGATCGTGTTGTCGTGTTGCCCAACTCCAAAAGTCTCGGTCTTATTTTCACATCCATGAATCTCGGTGCACCAAGCACAGGTTGGTGGCGCCCCGGAGCGGCATTTGGGGCGAAAAGCCACGCCAAACTCGACCTAACAACCCCGCAAACTCGGAGCCTGGAGTTCCCCCAGAAAACACAAGCCACAGCCGCTCCAATGACGCCCCCTGTATGTTTGTTAGAGCATCCACAGAGCAACTTCGACGTCATTTTGGATGATGGGTTTGGCCGAGCAAACCTCGACCAGATTATCCGCTTCGGCCTCCGGGCCACGCCTGTACCCCCTCTTTCTCACACTCTCGCAGGGAGCCAGGGGACGGGAAATCAGTTCCTCGTAAGCGCTGCCATAGCAAAGGCCTCAATAACCGAAGTCCCGCGCTTCTGATCAACGGACGGCCTTTCACCTACCAAGTTGATAGAAGCACCGCGGATGGGTACCTAGAGAGCTATCACGGCCTGGGAAGCAGGCAAGGCAGGACGAGTACACTCACGGGTAAATCTCAATCCCATCTCGCCTCGTCGTCACCTTGCCATTGAACCAGTCAAGGGTGTCCCCCGCCCAACCTCTCCAGCTTCCACATGCAGCTCGCTGATCGGCCTCACTGTTACCCCAAGCAGCAGGGTGGAGCAGGGCCAGTACCCGAACCCAATTGAGCTTACATGCAGGATCTCTCCAACAAGCTCCAAGCTTGGTCAGTCGGGCTGCTCGCAGCTTCGCACATTCTCCTCCCGAGTCATCTCATGTAGGCCGCAGCTCAGGATTTGCCCGCTTGTAGCCAAAAACAGGGCGGGCTCCGGGCATTGTATAAGTTCCCGTGTCTGCCCTTCTTCACGTCTAGCTAGAGCGCCTGCTCCTCTACTCCCTTGTGTACATGCAAGAAGGGCTTCCTGCGCAGCACTACCTAGCGTTTCCGTCTGTAGTCCTTGTTGTTCTCGTCGTCACGACTTGATAACCACCATGCGTGTGCAACTCTTGAGCCTGGGAGCATCCCTCCTGCCCCTTGCTGCCGCCCAATTCACTGGCAACGGTAACAGCACCAACGCCACCAGCACCGGGCCGGATGAGGACGGCAAGTACTGGATTTACGGCGAGGGCATCTCGGCGGCCTTTATCCCGTATGGAGCGTCAATCTCAAACTTACTCATCAAGGACCAGTATGGCATTGAGCGAGATATCGTGGCGGGCTTCGACAACGCCAGCTACTACGCCATTGATCGGCAACATCCACACTTTGGCGGAGTTCCTGGCCGTTACGCAAATCGCATCAAGAACAGCTCGTTTGAGATTGACGGCGAGACGTACCACATCAAGCCGAACGAGAACCCTACCAAGGACCACCCCGACGGAGTGGACACGCTCCACGGAGGCCCCAATGGTTGGGACTGGCGCAACTTCACCGTGGCATCGCGCTCGAACAACAGCATCACCTTCTCCTTCGTCGACCCGGACGGCGAGCAGGGCTTTCCCGGCGAGGTCGTGTCCTACATCACCTACACCCTCGGCAACATGACCTGGGACTTCAAGATGGTCGCCATCTCGACCACCAAGAAGACTCCCATCATGCTGAGCAGCCACACCTACTGGAACCTGGACGGCTTTGCCAACAACGACACACAGAGTGTCTTGAACCACACCTTCTACCTGCCGTACAGCGGCCAGAGGGTTGGCGTCGACAACATTCTTATCCCGACGGGCGACATCCTTGCCAACCAGCAGGGCTCGGTCAACGATTTCTGGAGTGCGCCGAAGCAGATCGGCACTGATTTCCAGAAGGAAGAGCTGAAGAACAATTGCGGCTTCAACTGCACAGGTTATGGTAAGTGACAATACGACGTTTTCTGACTGTGTTTTCTTTTTGTCACCCGATCCCGAATCGCGACTGATCCGCATACAATCAGATACCTGCTGGCTCGTCAACCGTCAGCAAGACGGCCCCTACGACTGGCGTGCAGAGGATGGCTTCGTCGCGCGGCTGCAGTCCCCCTGGTCCGGCATCCAGCTCGACATCTACTCGGACCAGGAAGCCTTCCAGATGTACTCGTGCAACGGACAGAACGGCTCCATGGCCCTCAAGAAGACCCAGGGCCTGTTCGACAACAAGGACTTCCCGCGCACCATCCCCAAGTATGGCTGCGTCGTGCTCGAGGTGGAGGACTGGATCGACGCCATCAACCAGCCCGAGTGGCAGCGAGGCAGCAAGCAGATCTACGGCCCCGGAGATGACCCGTACGTCCTCCAGGCCAGCTACAAGTTCAGTATCAATGCCACCAAGACCTCCTGAGATGGTCGTCTGAGTACAAGGGGTGGGGTTGGTCCGCTTCTGCGATGCGATAGATGAGATTATGACATTTGATACCAATTTCTGAGTGCCCAAACAACCTCAGCAAGGAGGTCCGGGCCAATGTTGGGAAGGGATGTTCTTCATCCTGCCCGACTTTAAAACTTAATAAGACACGTGGTTCTTTGTATTCTCTTGATCCAGGTTGGCAATGCCGGCTCTCTGCAGCTCCTGTGATTTTAGAGACAGCACCCAGATCGGGTTCTTCCTTGAATACCTCTTTAATTCATGGAAGAATCCATGTGGAAGGGGACTCTTTGACTTGGTGCTTAATCTACGCTGCCAAGCCTTTTAGTTCCCGGCAGTGGTCCAGCATTGGTGGGGTTGCAGCGCATTCTTGCAGCGCATTCAGTTGATCAGATGGGCGCCAAGGAATGCCAAAAAAGCCTAAAAGTTCGTCTCCGATAGACCCGCCCGCACGTTGATTAAACTCGAAAATGGAGGTTGATTCACACAACCGCATCACCAGGGTCTCGTGTCGCAGACAATGGCTTTCGACGATGACGACGACGACGTGCTAACGCAGGTGTCTCCGGCCACGGCACAGGCAGCTGCCGCCACAAACAACCCCGAAGCTGCCCGGCAGGCGGCCGAAGACGCCCTCGAAGACGAGGAGGCGCACGACTTCCGGTCCTTCGCCGCCTCGCTGAGCAAGAAGGGCGTCTCGTCCCAGTCGATCCGCAAGGGCGAGAAGGACTTTGAAGCCCACGGCACGCGCGCGCAGGAGAGCGCGCTCGAACAGAGCAGGCGCGTGTTCGAGGAGGTCCTGAGCTATACTCGTGTCCACAAGGCCGGCACGTGGGTGAGGGGATGGTACTTTCCCGATACCTGGGTGGATGCGCCGGCCGAGGGAGATGACGGTGCGCAAGGGGATGCAGAAGCTCCGAGTGCGGCAGCTGGGAAGTCAAAGGCTGTGCGGCCGGCCCTGGCACGAGAGAGGGTCGTTGTCGTCGAGGACATCCGAGGCACACTGCTGTCCTCAATGGGGAGAGTCATTCCCGGGACCAAGAGAGACCAGCCCGCGTTTGGGAAATTGTGGTTGCTGCCAGAAGAGGCCCTGTTCCTCCTAGAGAGAGGAAATCTGGACCTCTGGTGGCCTACACGGAAACTCGAAGAACTGTTCCCTGCTCAGGGCTCGGTCTCAGACGGCGAAGGAACCGCCAGTCCGCCCAAGTCTGTGCTGGCAACTGCCGAGGATGAGTTTGATGTTGGGCTGCCTTTGAGCTTGCAAGCAGCCTACTCGCTGCTCATAGGTCAGGATGGCGAGAGAGGCAAGATCTCGCTTCAAAAGTACCAAGTCTACTCTCACCTGAAGAGGGCTGGTCACCACGTCCACCGGGCCGTCGCCTTACCACCGTCGCCAACACTACGCGGCGTGGTTCAGCCTACAAGTGTATGGCAGTGGCTTTTCTCGCTCTTGTCATCGAGCCATAAGCAGAGACCACCACCACTCGGTCCGCTTGTCAGACCTGGAATCTACCACTCTTACAAGCCCATTTACGAACAGCTGTACATCATCCCCCGTCATAAGCCGACCCCGGAACCGTCGCCATCGACAGCACAAGTCCAGGAACCATTCAAGGTCTTCTTCCATATCTGGAAATCCGGCGGCGTCGCCAACTTTTCGGTGACTCGCCCGCCGCCGCCCGATTTCTACCTAGCCGTTGTCGATGCCCAGGAGACGGCCCTGCCGACTCTGGGGGAAATCTCGGCGCTGCTGGACTCGACCCCGTGGTGCCCGCCCACGAATGAGAAGTGGAAGGCGCCGCACTTGTTCCACCCGCGCCTGAAGCACGGCTTCCGCAACGTGCTGGTGGCAATCAACGACCACGGCATCATCAATTATATGCGATTCGGAGAGGGCGCATTCGGCGAGGAGTCGCTGTCCCATCGGTTCGACTGGAAGACCGGGCCTCGGGGTGCCAAGCAGGGAGGCGGGCGCGGTCGGGGAGGACACCGAGGCGGTCGTGGCAGGGGAGGCCGAGGGAGGAGGTAAACTCGGCTCATAAAGATTTAAAGATTCGGAGAGCCATCTCCTATCCGTGTTTCATCCAGGGTTGCTGCTATAGAAAGAGGGCTCGACACCAAAGAAAAGATACCCAGGGCGTTAGAGGAGTCCGGCTGTTACATGTTACATAGACCACACAGCCGCGCAAGAGTTGATTGAATCGTCTTTCCAATGAATGCCATTATTGGTTGATGAATGGTTGGGTGCTTGGCAAACACTCAAGTCCCCCTCGGGACCCAAGTGTGTTACATCTGTGGAACGCTTAGTTCCGAGTGATCAGAGTCCGATGAGCGCAAATGCTTTGGTGTCTGACCGAGCGTCACACTTAATCAACCGGATACTGGACTCTGCACAGTTGTGCTACACCATGTGGAGATGAATGATTTTCTCACAGCTGTACATATAGAGAGCCCGGCTGCAGGTATCCAGGCGCGCAGGTACTACCAATCTGCCTGTAAGAAACGGACTTGAAGTTATCTGCCCTGGTCTTTTGATGGGTCACCTGATGTGTCACAGGAAGGAAATGCATGATCGAGAGAGATGGCAAACCAGGCGGGACTACTCGGTACATGTGGCCTCTTCCTCGGCGGCGATGCCAAGCAGGCTGTCTCGCAGGCTTGCTGAACTTGCAAGAGCAAGTTGTGTGGAATTGCGGGTATTGGGTGAGACTCTCGTGCGGCCATTTAGCATTTAGGCTGGTGGGCATCGAGACAAGAGACAAAAGGCCCTCGAGATTGGTTCGACCTACCGACATTACTTGGGCAATTTAGGTGGTTCTTGAGCTCTGGCTGTCCATGTTTTTTTGTAATTCTTTTTTTTGAGTTTCGCACTTCGGGCCAACCCAAGACATCGACAGGCCTTGGACAATGGAACAATGGGGACACAGGCACTGGTGCTGAGAGAGATAGTTACCTACCCAGGTACTCCGTACTGTGCCTAGGTTGGTTCCTAGCATTGATTGATGTCACATTTCGGGGGGGGATGCGTAAGAGCAACGAGCAATGGCGGAAGATTGCACGGTTGCCAATTAATTGGACGTGTTTCGGCTATTGGTCTATTGGAAGGCTAGCAGTCTCTGCGAGTATCTGCCCCCACTTAATAACTGGCCATGTTATTACCACTCCATACTTTGTCAATCGTACTTTGTCAATCGGCAAGATGCGTGAGTGTAGATGTACCTTTGCTTGCCTCTTCTGTGTGTCGGATGCATCATCAGCTAATGCACAAAGTGTTATGGAAATTGGCGATCCCCTTCCAGTCAATCCCGCCAGTCAGTCAACCAGCAGAGCAGATTCGACACCTCAAATCCGCTGTCCTCCCCGATCATCTCTCTGAAGTGTTCTGGTGCTGTACTACTCGGGAGCCAATGCAGCATCGGATACGTGTCCTGTACTTATCCAGCTGGGTACCCTGTTTTACTTGGTAAAACCATGGGAGCTGGAGGAAAGGCTACCTAGGCGCTAGGTGAGGGTGTTGGTTGGTCTTGTGCACGTAATGCATCTTCCGTTCCAGTCAAAGACACAAGCTCATGACTAATGCATCATGCTTTTGGGCCCAGTGCCCAGTGCCCAGTGCCCAGCGACTCTTGATCGTTGATGCAAAAGTGGCTTGTTCTCCGTTGACTCTTTTGTCGTCGATCGGCGCAAATGCATGCCCGGCATGAAACAGCAGAGGCATGGGGCCAAAGTCTGCGTTTGAGATGCGATCTGTCAGGCCGCCAGCATCAAGTACCTATATGACACGATGGGAAGATGGCGAGAGGTCGCGAGAACATAACACGACTGTTACACTCTCAGTCGGGTGCGTCTCCACCCTGCTGGACTGGGCTCGCTCGTATGGGCAGGCTTAATTAGTTGCGACTAAATGAGGCCGAATTGAGCAGGGATTATGTTTGTCCTTGCAAAGTAGTGAACTTTTTATTTTCTCATGGGGGTTTCCAGAAGCCAACTCAGCACATGCGCCGAGGAACCGAGTTGGCTCACTCGCTTGGCCGCCGCTCGTATCCTTGCTTTGGAGCAAACACATTGAGCACATTGTTTGCTCCTTGTTCTTGTCCATCGCAGAGATGATAAGGGGAGGGAGGGGACAGGGAAGAGATTACCAATCTGACCAAGAGAAAAAGTTTAAAAAGCAAGAGAGGCAATCAACAGGCATAACCGCAAGATCTCCAATAGATTCCCCTCTCAGTACCTCGTGCAGGCTACCTAGGTATGTTGCCAGTCATCTCCTGGAGAGATCAAAAAGACTACCTGAGAGCAAAACAGATGGATCATGGAGAGATGAGTGTGGGTGAATGAGAGTTAGTGAGTGGGTGGGCGCAATCAGGTAGGTAAGGTAGTCAAGACTGGGTGATGGGCAAAGCAATGAGGTAGCTAGTAGCTAGCTACCTGTACCAGCCTGGGCTGGTTCACTCTGAGTCGAGGACCACACAAGAGGTCTGGGAACCTGGAACTATTTGACACTGTTAGATGTTCGCTCCTAGCTCTGCCTGGAACTTAAAACAGAGACCTCGTCTGATGATTCCCTTTTTAACCAACTGGAACTCCCGCCACCCCATCAAACTCTCATTACTCATGAGTTTCTCCCCCTTTCCCATTCCCATTCCACAACAGTCTTTTCTTTCTTTTTCTCCCCTTGCCGCTTGATTCTCTCTATCCAGCGCCTGGTTCCTGGGATAACGCCACCAGATCCTCACTCGGGTATTACTGACCGGCTCTCGTCACTCATTCAGTGGCTACTTGCACGCATACGTTCCCACCACCGCCTTTGCCGGGCTCTTGTCAAGGGCATATCTTGTGGAGAGAGACGCAGAGACGCAGAGACCGCAAACCGTTTGTTCCACCTTTTCATTTTCACCCTTCCTCTTCTTCTTCACTCACCAACTCACCCACTTTTCAGCTTGCCTTCTACTTTGTAGATTGGCGATCCATCCACCCACCCTACCCTACCTGACCTTGTCTTCCCTCGCTTCACCCCCCCCAAACCCCAAGCGCAAGGCCCAAGACAACTCATTGGCACTAGGCCCTCTGGCCGAGTTTCCTTTTCCTGACCCTCCCCCAACTCCCAACTCGAATCAAGCAATCAATCTCTTTCAAAACTCGGCCGAACTAGATTCGACGTGTCGCTTTTTTTCTTCAACTCGACTTCACCGCGCGTCATTCCCTCTTCACCACCCCTCATAAGGCAGCCCTTCCTGCTAGCTACTTTTTCGGTAGTTTTGCCCTGCTTCTTCCTTCGCCTGCCCTCTTTTCACACACCCCGACTCTCATTCCCAGACACAACACCACAATTGTCACAACGCGCTCCCTCACCGCGGGCAAAACACAAATCCGCCTGTGGCCCTCCCCCCAGCGGTAACCTGTTGTTTCTATCGGGCCATCTTACCAACCACCCACAACCACAAATAGATCATCGTTTCTGCGGCGCGCCGCCTCGTAACAAGCCCAAACGGTAATTGATACCACCGCAACACACGGACTCGCGGACTCGCTTACGCATCGGGCGCAACCATCGTCACATCACCATGGAGGGCTATCCATCCGACTTGAAGAAACAAACTCCCGCCCCAGTTGCGGATGCACCATCTGCACCTCCTTCGGCAGAACCCGAGCAGTAAGTTGCCTTGTTGTATCCATCCATGCTTCCTTCCACTTTCGCTTCACGCGAGCCTTGGGCTCTTCATCGCCATATCACTGCTCCCGTCAAGTGCCTACACAAGTACTCATCCACCACTTGCTTGCCTTGTTGTTTTTATTTTCATTCGTCGGTCGGTCGCATCATCGTAGTCTTTTCCGATTGCCGAGCTGGCTTTCCTTTCCCCTTCATTTTCGCGAGGTTCTAAATCATTTCCTCTCGCTCATCACCGTCTTATCCACTTTTGCCCCCGATTGGCAACCCCAGTCACCTCATTCCCCCAAAGTCATCACACTCAAGAGGACTTGACTTTGTTTCCTCTTTCTTGTCTACCTTCCTCACCCCCAAAAAAAGAGAGAGAAGAGAAGAAAAAAAAAGACAGTCTCCGGCTTGAAGAAAAAAAAAAGCCCCACCACGAAACGGACGAGTCGCTTCGGTGCAACGACTCCTCTCTTTCTCTTTCTCCCTCTCTCCCATCAACACACGTATGTCCAGCAATCAATCCCCTTCCCTCCACGTTAGTATTCTACACACCTTCAGCAACAGCAACAGTCTGATTCTGATGCTTCAACTCTCCCAATTCCCGAACCAGTTCCACAGGCAATCAAGCGATCGCAATTTCATTGTCTACATATCAGTCAGTTGTGCCTGACAACCCCTCCTTGCCTCGTCTCACCTTCCCGTCACCACAATTTGAGCCTCTTTCTGCGAGTTTGAGAAGCTGGCGTCAGTCAAACTGGTCTTCTCCAAAACAAGCCTCGCGAAGCTGCCCTCCAGCAGAAGGCACATTCCCACTGTTGATCTCTTCAGCTTGGAGGGTTCAATTAATCCCCGAAGCTACGTCTCTTCGAGACTGCTTCACACACACGTGCCTTGTGCACTCTTCCCGTCTTCGGTTCGGCAACTTCTCAGAGTGTCCTGCAAAGCGATTTGCTAGTCGCAAGTTGGCATCCCTCTCTCCGAGTAGCCAAGTTAACATTCATTGTCTGCAGCAATACCCCGGTCAATGGTGAGGTCAAGTCCATCGAGGAAGACCCGGTCAACGACGATAACCTCACTCCGCCCCCAGACAGCCCAATGTCGGACCCTTCTGACCCACCACACAACACGCTGGAGGACGAGATTGTAGTCGGCACCAACGCCAACGGCACCAAGTCATCGCCCCTGCGTGTCACTTCGGACCAGGAGGACGTTGATATGGAGGATGCCGAAGATCGTACTCCCATCTCGCACTACCCCAAGCGCAAGCGCGCCTCGGTCTACAACGAGCTGAACGAAGACAAGATTGAGAACAGCATGGCGGCAGGCGACGAGAGCGACATGCGTGTTGGCCCCGGCAGGCCGAGGACCCACGGTATGGCCGGTGTCAAAGGTGTCATCTTGGGGTACTGGCGCGATTCTGAGGTACCTAATGAGGAGGATAAGCATGCGGTTATCGGCTTCATTGATGTCCGCGATCGTCTGCGTACCCGTGTCCAGCCCATCAACCGTGCCGGCAAGCTCGTTATTAACGAGTGGCCCCTCCCGCCTGGTCCCGGTGGTAGCTGGGTCACTTTCGAGCGTGTCGTCTTCAACAAGCATCTCGTTAATCTCGATCACAACCAGGTCAAGGAGTACGTCAAGATCCGCACCGAGGCCATAGGTGTGCATGAGACCGAAGAGGAGATGGAGGCCAATGACAAGGCCGCTGTCAAGGAGGCCATCAGGCGCGTGCAGGAGAACCCTCCTGTCGAGACGGCCACGGCACCTGCCATTGCCTACGGCCCAGAGATCCCCGAGCATGCCGTAGTGAACCACCGCCCAGAGATGAAGAAGCGACGGACGGGCGGGGTTGGCACCATCGCGGATGGCGTCGCTGCCCCTCCCCGAAACCTCATCGACACTCTTCCCGGCACCCGCCCCACAAAGATCCTCCTCGGCTACTGGAAAGGCTCGAGCGAGCCTCGGCCAGAGGACCGCCATGCTGTCTTCGGCATCCTGGGCGCCAACGACATGTTCCGGGTCAAAGTTACGCGCGAGACTCGCGACGGTCGGCACGTGTCGGGCAACTTCCCAACCGGAGCCGGTGCCCTGTGGATCCACTGGGAAGAGGTCGAGTTTGAGCCTCACATCAAGCCGCTGGCGCGCCCAGAGATCAAGGAGTACGTTCGCGTACGCCAGCATCAAATCGATAACGGCGAATCTCCTGAGGACCGAATCGGAAACGAGACCAAGGCCGTCTACGAAGCCCAGCAGCGTGTTACCAGCGTTACGAGGCCCGAGGCTCTCCAAAATCTCACTTATGGCAATGTCGGTCCAGCCGTAGCTCCTGCGCCCGCCGTTCCGAATGGAGAGGATGGATATCCCGAGCTCAAGGCGAAGCGCGAGTACACTGGACATGAGCTGCGCCAGTCCCGCCGCAATCTTCCCGACTCCAAGGACGCTGCTCGAGCTCCTCGATATTCCCTGCCCGAGGCTTCTGAGCTTCGGGCTGCGAATCGCACCCCTAGCAACTTGGGTAACGAGGACAACATCACTAGATCCAACAACATTGCCAGGCGCGAGATCGCTCGCTTCGAGGCTCGACAGATGCGGAATGATCAGCGCGCCGCCAGCCGCGAGGCCACCGCGTCCCGCGAGAACAACAAGGCCCTCTTCTCGGATCAAGTCGGCCGTCTTAACAAGGTGTGGGCCGCCCAGGAGGCCAATCGTCTCAAGGCCGGCACTGAAGATGCCAAGATCCACATGGGAGTCAAGTACGAGCGCAAGCAGACCGGCCCCTTCCAGGGCAAGCTCGTCAGCCAGGGGACTATCATCTCGATCGACGGCGAAGACTACGTCGAGTATCGCGTGCTCACCAAGCCTACCTTCTTCTAGACCGAGCGTAGTAGCGCTTTGTCGGAATCCCACTCCAACATGCGCCATTTGTTTGGGAGGACGATTCATCACCGCTTGCCTTTGACTGACTGAGAACGCGTTTTGGGCCTTGGTCAATCCGAGGTTTATTTCTATTTCATTACTGGTTGCTATTCTGCGGCGGTTCTTCCGCAGCCATTCGCAGGACTACTCACAGTTGCGCGTCGTCCATTTTTTGTTTTTTGCTTTTATGATATTTCGTATCGCTCGAGGGGTCTTCAGGACGGTGGCAATACCCATGGGAGGATGGATCTGCTTTCGAGGGCTTCTTTTTCTATTTTTTTTTTTTTTCGCACTCTATTGCGGGTTTCGAACTCATACTGACCCAAAGCATGGCCACTACTAATACCTCTTTCCTCGCTCTCTCTCGTTCTGCACACAGGGGTCCGTTTTAGACCTCTACACTTACTTTGCGACTCTCATCAGCAAAGGAAAACGGGTCAGGGGTTACAGAAAATTATCGGAGTTTCATGGTTCATTCGTTGCGTTACTTCTTTCATTTTTTTCTCTCTCGGAAGCGGACGGGAAGCTTGATCCGGCAGGAAGTGAGCAGTCTTTCTCAGAAGTTTCGTTGGCTTATTCAACCTGCGCTGTACTATCTCTTTGTTTAACAAAAAATCGGGTTATCTTCTCAAGCGTCCACATTCTTGGGTGTGTGTGCCCATTCGTGATTGTGGCGATGATGATGATGATGATGAAATGCTAAATGTGAATGAAACCTGCTCGCGCTCTCCAATCAACGAGACATCTGCGAATGAGTATTATATGTATTTGGTCCATTTGATTATAACTATGTAGGATGACTTGGGCGAGAACTCCTTTTGCCCCCCGCCCCCCCCCAATCAGTCCAGTCTCCTCAGAGCTAGGAAGGCCAGCCTGATGCCCCGACCCCGGTAAGGCAGCGCCCTGCCGTCCTTCATGGTGACGACGGGGCGGTCCCCGGCGGCCGTCCTCACCGCGACGCCCGCGCCGCGGAACTGCACCCGCGGCGTGCTCTGCAGCTCCCGCACGTAGCTCTCCCAGTCCCACTCGGCCGCCGGCTCGATCCGGCCCTCGAGCATCTCGCCGACCTGCCGGGCGATGTGCGCCGGCGCCCCGTTGTCGCGGGCCGCGGGCAGCAGGCCGACCTCGTCCGGGAAGGGCATGTCGAGCTGCCAGACCGTCGTCGTCGTCGTCGTCACCGCCGTCGTCCGGAGCAGCCCGCCGCTGGCCCCCTTGTTCTTCTCGACCGCCGCCCGGTAGTCGCCGTCGCTCCAGCTGCTGCTGCGCCGCTGCTGCCGCTGGTGCCGGGCGAGGAAGATGACCTGCACCAGCGTCTCGAGGCGCGGCAGCCGGTTCCCTCCTGCTCCCCCACCACCACCGCCGCCGCCTCGCGGTGCCCCGCCGCGCACGGCGGCCCAGAGGCTGTGGTGGAAGGCGCTGCCGTCGCTGTCGTCGCGGGGCACGACGGCGATGTGCCGCGCCCCCGGGGGCACGGCGCCGAGGCTGGCCGTCGTGGCGAGGCAGAAGACGGTGCGCTCTAGGTCCAGGCCGGGTAGGAGGGCTGAGGGCGGCCCTCTGGCGCCAACCAGCGGCAGGGGATATGTGCCCCTATGATAGTCATGTCTGTTTGTGATGTTTTAGCAAGCACTATACTTGATGTACATATATTTCTTTTGAAGAGATTTGCTCTGGGGATGGAAGGTGGGAAAGAGGTGCCAAGTGCATGTGTGCAGCTGCGCAGACGGTTTATATGGTAGATAAGTAAGTAGGATTGGTTGGTGATTAATACACATACGCGAGTTCTACGGGCCTTGCGACACGTCGCCATTCTTGCCGGGCCTCGTGACAGACGAGCCCTATCCTGCCGGATCTCCTAAACAGGTCCATCTTGGGATGGCCGGCGTGTATGCGTGCCCCGAGGCCGTCGAACTGCCGGTGGGTTACGCCGACGAGCGCGAAGGGCTCTGCCGCGATGGCCCATTGCCAGATCTCGGCGCGGAGCTCGGCCGGCAGGTCGGGGAACAGGGTGAAGACAGCATCTGGCTGGCTTGACAGGACGTTGTCCTTTGGTGGGAGAGATGAGGCCATTGTCTCTCAAAGACATAACTAGAGTGGTGGATGCCGGGCTTTGTCGGGGCCAGGCACAGCAACATGTGGTGGTTGAAATGATAACCACACTCTGGATTGTATAAAATGCTCTTCTCGAATTGAAAATAGCCGGGCAAAATACCCCAAGCCGACAGTTGAGCGATGCCCTATCCTCAGTTATGTTATGCAGGTGGGCACTGGACTCGTTGCTTCCGAGGCGATTCAACAATTGCCTGACGTGACTAATAAGTTTGATGTCGAGTTCATGATGCCACCCACCCAAAGTCAAAAAGTCACAAGTATATCGGGCCATCCCGCTCGAGGTCAATTCCGAGTCATTCTCAACCAACACATCTCCTGACCAAGACTCGAGGTACCTTGAAAACCCGTCTAGGAACCACTGTAGTATATTGTAGATGTTGTTACAAGATGCTCCGCTATCGGCGCTTCGAAAGAAACCGTCAAATCTCAGCTTTCCAACTTGCTTTAACTCCAGGTAGATCAGATATGATGGGCTCATATGACAAAGTCACCAGACGTTTACACTGGCGGCTAAGAAGCCGTCAGCTCCTCCATTCTCCTCTCGAGCTCAGGCACCTGCCTCAGCCGCACCTCGAGATCCTCCTTCTCGTCCTCGAGCCTGAGGCGCCTGTCTGCGTCGAGCTTCGTGAAGACGTAATTGCCCTGCCCGTCGAACTGCAAGATATGGCTGTGGTACTTCCACAGACTGCGCCGGTGGCTGACCGTCATCAGAGTCACGCCCAGGCTCTTGGCGTTGTCGTACATGACCTTCTCCATCTCGAGGGTGACGCTCGACGTGCACTCGTCGAGGATAGCATACCGCGGCTTGTGGTAGAACAGCCGCGCCATGGCGACGCGCTGCTGTACGCCGCCGCTCAGTACGTCGCGCCACTCGGCTTCGGCGTCCCACCCCTCGGGGTACATGTCGACGAGGTGCTCGAGGTTCAGGATCTTGAGCATATCAAGTAGCTCGGCGTCCGTGACGCCCTTGGCTCGTACGGTACGGAGGCCGTCGGGATAAGTGATCTGCTGGCGGAGAGACCCGCGCGACAGGTAGGGTCTCTGAGGGATGTAGAAGATGTCGGTGAAGGGCGGCTTATAGACGGTCCCACCGTATACGGGCCAGAGGCCACCGAGAATACGGAACAAGGAAGACTTCCCGCACCCGTTCGGCCCGACCACCAGAAGGTGGTCACCCTGCTTGAGCGAGAAAGAGAGAGCCTTGACAAGGACATCGCCGTTGGGTGAAATGATGGGGCTGGTATGGAGAGTCAGTATCAATATGCACCAAGGGTAGCAAGGGCAAAGGAAAGTATCTTACACGTCGATGAATTTGATGTCTCTGCTCTCGACAACTTTGCCACGGCCCTTGAGAACGGCCTCATTGTCTTCGGTACCGGAGCTCGAGACAAGCTTCTTCTCAAAGTGGCCGGCCTGGATATCATCCATGACGTTGAGCAGGGATGCGACGCGTGATGTGTAGCCTGCAAGCTCCATGATCTCGCGGTAGGAGAACATGATGCGGCCAAAGGCATCGGATGCGGACAGAAGCATTCGCCTATTGGTGACGAAGCTCTCGGTCCTATCACCCATGTTCATCGAGACCTGGCCCGGGAGCTTGACAAAGACGGGCACACTGCAGAGCAGGAGACCGAGGGCGCCCCAGAAATACTTGATGACAAAGTCCTCCATGAAGCCGTGATAGAAACGACGACGTAGTATGTAGTTGACGTGCTTGATCAGTGTGAAGTAGCCCTTATCCAAGGTGTCCTTCTCCGCCTCGTGGCCGGCGTATAGCGCGACCTCCTCGCTGTGGTCGATCAAGCGCGAGTGCTGGAAGCGGAATTCACCCTCCAACCGTGCTTCATCGGCCACGTATTTGCCGAAAGGTGGCGTGAGGGCCCTCATGACGTTCGCCGATAGTTGGACTAGCAATGACATGAACACGACACCCTCGCCGCCGACGCTCTTGGATAAAGACCAAGTGTAGATCGTCTGCCGCTGGGTTAGCACTTGGACAGCTGTATCAGAGGAAATTCATCGAGGGCCTACCATATCCAAGATTGGCTTGGCCAAATTGCTGTAAAGTTCTGCTAGACTATTTGAGAACTTGGCCACATCGACAGCGATGAGCTGATCCGGATTCTTTATCCTGTCGTCCAGCGCCGAAATGCCATAGAAGGTCAACTGTGAGAGATACTTGTCGTGGATGTACTGTGTCAACCGGGTACGGTACTTGAGTGACAGTTCGGCCTGGTGATATGAAAGCTGTTTTATAGATTACCACCGTCAGCATGGAACCATCCTCAACGGTGACCACGGGTTTGTCTTGTGCTACTCACCATGGAGTTGGTAAAGGTAGCCGGGATGGCTATCAGCATCCACCAAATAATCCGCATGAGGAACTCCTTGCCGTTGCCCTTTACCAAACTCTTGACAATGGCACCGTCCATCTCGGCCACCTTGAGACTGATCAATGTCCTGATCACCAGGAAGAAGCTGTGGCTGATCAGCAGGCGTGTCTCATGGCTCCTCCAGCCGGGTACCACAATGCGCAGGAGGCGCAGCAGGGAGCGGAAGAACTCCCTGTTCAGCTCGACCTTCTTCCTCCTCTTGCCGCCGCCCTTGGCTGCGTCGCCGGCCGCCTCATCCTCCTGGTCGGCGCCAGTGGTCGAGGTGGTGCCGGAGCGCTGAGCGCGACGCTCGGCCTCGCGTGCCGAGGCGGCTTTCTGCTCTTGGACTGCGTGGCGGACGCGATTGACAAGGGCGACGAAGAGGGTCAGCCAGACGGCGCGGGAGATGCGGGTGCGGTTGGAGAGGTAGAGGCGCGTGATCTCGGCGACGACGCCGCGGATGGTCCGCTCGCGCAGGGGCGGCGACACCATCTTGGACGGAGCGGGCGCCATAGTCACTCAGGGGGATGTGGTTATCGTCGTTGAGCAACAGACCGCAGGCTTGAATGATCGAGACAGTCTGTTCACGGAGGAAAGTAGAGGCCCGAAGTCGCTCGCGAGTCGCACGGCTTCAAGGGTCGAGAGGCCGAACCATGAGGGGTCAAGGACGGAGAGAGCGCGCAAGGACGGTTGAGCCTTGGTAGAAGCTACTGTCTGTCTATCCGGTCCAAAGCGATTGACAGGGTTGAATATCGAATTGTTGTTGTAGTACGTAACATTCCGGACGAGACTCAGTTTGCGGGATGGGCTGGCACATGTCTAAGTCGAGGTGGGTGGCAGGCCAGGACCAACCGTAGCGTAGACTTACAATTGCATTGTCCCTCGGCGTTGCGTCACCGAGAAATGCAGCACTAAATTGTGTCCGCTTCCAGCGACTCGGGGTACCTGGAGGACAGCACTGGAGATCAAGCGCCCCCCAAAAAGCAGCGCGGGTTTTGGCATGTGATCACTACGCAAATCCACTAGGCTGGAAGTAGACATGCTGACATGCTCCCCAGTGTGGAGTTTTCTGTGGGGTACGAATCTGTGCCTCCTGTTTTGGCAGGTCAGTATGGAGTTATCAACAGCAACTCTACTTGTAACTACCTAAGGTAGCTTCAATAGCTAGCTGTATATGCTCGACAGCTCGACAGGACAAGCTCCGAATCTGATCCGACGTTTGGGATAGTCGCTCTCCTTCAGGCGTGTGCGTTTACTAGAACACCTCCGTCCGCCTCAGCCATGGCTGCACTATCTCGCCTGGTGTGCCTCTTGACATACGTCTCCCTTGTCCTGGCCAACACGGAGAAGATCGTCTTCAAGGGGCCCCGGACCATCAACGTCCCCTCCCAGCACCCGACCATCAACGACCTCCAGCTCGACGTCCTAGCGCCGGCCCAGCCGTCCATAAGAACTCGTCTTCGCGCAGCCTTCCCCAGCGAATCCTCGGCCAGAGGCCCGTCGACATGGTTTCTGCTCGACGACCTCAAGCCCGGCCAGCGATATGAAGTTCGCGTCTGCTGGGCAGCTACCGTGAGTTTCGAGCCAGCTCACCACCCCTTGCCGACGCTCGCGCGTCTATTCTATCAACTGACCAATGTCCGTACATGTAGCAGCCGACAGCTTTCCATCTGAAAGCTATCCCTGTCCCCCTGGTCTGGGACACGCCCGAGCTCATCACTTCACTGTGGGACTACTCGACGTCCCGCCTCCAAGAGGCCGGCGACGCAGAACAGAAGACGCAGCCCAAGGAGAAAAAGGCCGACCGTGAGGCGTCTGTTCTTTTCCTCCAGGTCTCGGCCGCTGCCGATTACTACACCACCGACGCCAAGCTGATGGAGAATGTGCCACCAGTCGACGTGGACGTCATCCTCGACCCCTACATCCTCAATATACTCCCTCAATCCATGGTGCCGACCATCTGCTATGTCATCGTGATATCCACCATCGCCTGGCTGGTTGCGCAGCAAATCGCCGGGTGGCTGCGCAGGGTTGCTCTCAGCGGAGCTGACAAGGAGAAAAAGACGCAATAGAGAGACTCGACCTTCTCAAGCATCAAGAGAGCACATTTCCTTTCCATATATTTCGACACTACTCATGCAAAGGCCATATAACCTAACAGCCAAAGGGAAAGATTTCCTCCGCTCGCCCTCTATGAAAATGCATCAATTCGTCACCAGATCGCTCAAATATGCGCACCATCTCGGACCATCCACCTCCTTGCCTCCGTCTGTGCATCAAGCTTACCAGTCACGAGCAGCCACAGCTGTCTGTCCCTCGGTCTCAAGCTACCCAAGCATTTTCAGCCCATTGCCCCTCCGGCTCCAGCTAATATTGACCGTATCCTTGACCCTGATGAGGGTGACCACCATGCTGCTGTCCGCCATACTGCGGCTGGGGTTGCCCGTAGGATTGTTGAGGGGGGGGAGGGTAATACTGGGAGCTGCTGCCGCCGCCGCCGTACTGCTGCTGCTGGTGCTGCTGGTGTTGCTGGTGTTGCGACTGGTGTTGAGGCGCACCGTAGCCAGGCTGGCCTTGAGGCGGCGGCGGTGCAGAGCCATACTGTTGGTGCTGGGGCTGGCCGGGCGGAGGGTACTGCTGGTGGCCCTGTTGGCCGGGCGGTGGCGGGAACGACGGAGTGTGCTGCCCCTGGTGTTGGCCTTGATGTTGGCCCTGGTGGCCGTGCGACTGCCCGTACCCACTGTGCTGGCCTTGGCCTGGTGATGGCTGGTACGACTGGTTCTGTCCAGGCGGCGGGGGATACGACTGGTTCTGTGACTGGTTGGGAGGAGGCGAGTGGTAGGACGGAGTCCCTGAGTGAGAAGGTTGTTGAGACGTCGACGGGTTGTACGAGCCTTGGCCCGGCGTCTGGTATGATGCCGGCGGTGCTTGTCCACTGTAGCCGCCTGACTGGCCCGAGTTCGAGTAGCCGTAGTTCTGACCCTGTCAAGAGAAATCAGTGAGCAGGTATCCTCGCGAAGCCAGCACGCAAGAGACGGAACGACGTACCTGGTTCTGCGCATGGTTCCCACCAAACATATTGGCCACTCCTCCAAAGACAGACCCGGCCAGGCCACCCGTGTTCTGGGGGTTTGATGAGGAAGCGCCGTGGTAGTTTTGCGGCTGGGCCGGCTTGTTATTGCTCGAGGAGAACAGATTCGACGCGAGCTGTCCGACCAGCTTGCCGCCTAGGCCACCACTGCCGCCGCCGCTACTCGAATGGCCGCCGCCTCCCATGAGCTGTCCTGCGATGTTGCCGAGCGGGCTCGACCCGTGCCCACCGCCGCTTTGCTTGCCGCCGCCGAGTTGGCTCGATAGCAGGTTACCCGCGAAGCTCTAGAAGATGAGAAGAGAGGAGAGTCAGCACCACGGCAACAAAAAGGGAACCGCTCTTCTCCTTCCTTCTTTTTCCCACTTACACCCAAGCCCCTCTCGCCGGCAGGGCCGTCCGCAGGGCCCCTCGTCCCGTCCCCGCTGCTGGGCGGCATGACGGGCTCGAGCCTGCCGTCCGGGTGCTTGACGGTCTGGGTGCCGTCCGGGTGCGTGATGATCTGCGGGGCGGTGCCGGGCGGGCCTCCGAAGGGGTGGTCGCCGGCCTGGGCCGGGGTGCCGCCGACGGGCGCGGCGTCGGTGGGCGTCTCCCACTGCGACACGCCCGTCGAGAGCTGCACAAAGTAGTACTTCTTGCTGGCGCCGTCCCACTGCGCGATCCACCCCGCGGGCAGCGGTGGCGGCGCAAAGGTCGGGCCTTCGCTGCCGGGGGAAGCCGGGCCTGCCATGTGCGCTGCGCTTGCTTTTACGAGAGAGAGAGAGTGTGTGTGTTTGTGTGTGTCGATGTCGGTTCCCCGGGTTGTGTTGTATTGTTGACGAGGTGTCGCCTTTGATCGGGGGGGTTTGAGAGGGTAGGGAAAGAGAGGGTGAGAGAGGAGGGAGTGCGCGAATCGCTTTGCTAAGTTACCTAAGTAGTCAGCGTGGGAGCTGGAGGCCGCGCCGTCAAATAAAAAACCGGGTGCGGTGCGATGGAGGTGCGCTTGATGGGGGAGGGGTAGGCCAGCATGACAGAGCACTGAGCGTGACTACGGAGTGGTAGGTATCGGGGACAGGGGGTCGCGTTGATAATAGCACCCAATTCCTACCTAGACACAGCTGGAGGGCTCCCTCAGTAGCATTGGGCACTAGCTAACTACCTTAGGTAGTGCTGTTTAGCCTGTCGTCGCTCGGTTGCGATAGCCACATCAATTGGAACACTTGTACTTTTTTCAGCATTCAAATTGGGGCTGTGTTGCGCCTCCCGTGCCATCTCTACTACCAGGTTGTAAATCCATGTGCCATGGGGGGAGGGCTTGGGTCTGAACACTACCTAGGTACCTAGGTAGGTAGGTCTGTCTGTCTTTGAGAGGCAGCCCGGGCAATTCCCTGTGTATCAGACGCACCATGTCCGTGATTCTTAGCCATGTAACCTTCACAAACCTACCTAGTCACAGACCAGCACAAGGAGATCTTGAACCAGCTGTGCATAGTGACTTTCAAACAGGACAAAGGTGCACCTATCAAAGTAGCGGCCGAAGAGCAAGCAAGCAGCTTTCTGCAGGCAGAATGATATGCAGAGCCTTCACGCACAACGCCAGCATCGCCGGGTTCATCGACACACTTGCCCCTGTCATGGCTCCGTGGATGGATTTCAATCGGGAAACAGATCTCCGGCCTTTTTGACCAAGACTGATGGACAAGCAGTGGTGGAATGAATAGCAAGTGTTGTTAAATCTATGAGATGGATGGTCAAAGAAAGACCAGAGGCCTGTGTACTAATAGACTCGTCACACCCCATTTGGCGGGTTATACGCTGCTCTATAGTTGAAAGCCGGGCCGTTGGGCTTGCTCGGAGGGCCCACGGCGTTGTTGTCGTACCACCTGTCAAATTCGAGCAGGCAGAAGCCGGGATCGTTGGGGGTGATGGCCTTCGGCCAGCAGGGATTGTCCCAGAGGCCGTCATCGAAGGGAGGGTTGGCCGAGTGGCCCCAGGTCTCGATGGAGAACTCGGGATGTTCATCGATGCTGATGCCCACCATGTTTTGCGCCATGCCGGGCTTGGTGCTGCCCGGCCGGGCCATGGCGGCGCTGATCTTGCTGTCGAGCTGTGCGTCCGAGAGGCCCCCAAACGCGGGCCTGAAGCATACGCTCTTCCACAGCTTCAGGCTGCGGCCAGCGCCGCCATTATCAGCTGCCGGTATCCATCGAATCATCTGCCCGGCCCGGTTTTGGCCAGAATTTTGCCAGGCCGGGTCCGATTTGTCGAGCATGTACGCCGGGGGCCACTCGTCGCGCTCGCAGAATTTCTGCGCGCGGTGCGCCGGGTCTTGCCACCCATTGCCCCCATGCTGCGTCGACCAGCTCTTTACCCCAGAGGCGTCCTCGCGGTGTGCGGTGGTGCCCGCCGCGGGCGGGCAGGTAAGCGTGGACCAGGCCGGAGACACGCGCATGGCCGAGCTGTAGTGGAAGCACGCCTGCGAGAACTCCTTGTCGCAGTGTCCCGCGATCTTGGTCGGCCTCGGTCCGTAGGTGAGCGACGTGACGATGAGGTCGGTCTTGGCGGTCGTGCTGTCGATCGGGTGGCAACTCTGCTTGCGCAAGGTGTTGGAGGCATAGCCCACCCGCGTTGTCGACTTGTTGGCTGGCACCTTGCACTTCTTCTTCTTTTTGACGCCCGCCGAGCCCTTGCCGTTGGCGCCGCTCCCGGTGCCGGCCTTTGGTTTACTACGGTCGACCGGATTCGCGCCGTCGCCCTTCTTGCCCTTGCCCTTGAGTTTGGGATTCGGTTTGAAACTCGAAGCGCCGTCCGCCACGTTGCTGAGGATGCCAAAGACCCTTTTGATTTCGTCGGGAACGAGTTCAGTTCCACCACATGGGCTCAGCCACCAAGAAAACGCGCCTTCTGGGTCTTCTTCTTCTGGATAAAGATACTTGGCCGTCTGCGCGGCCGTGGTGGCCATGTCTATCTACTGCGTCAGCATTTCATTTTCCTCAGCAGTCATTGGTAGAAAAGCGCAGGGTCACGCACCCATTCCGGCGTCGAGAGTCTTGCCTACTCCAGGGATGAATTGCAAGCCTACATCAAGAACGAGCTTCAGAGCCGACATGACTATATAGCACCCGATCTGATACTCTTGTTAGGATTTTCAAATGGAAAGGAGGGGGGAAACAGGGAAGAAAAAGGGAAAAGGGGGCCGAGGTACCTGAGCGATGATGGGCATGGCCTCAATAACAGTGTCGGCGAGAAAGTTCACAAGGTAATTATCGCAGGAGCATCTTGCAGGAGCATAGATTTCCCTACCCCCAGGCTCCTTTTGCCACGGGATCTCTTTATCGAGTGGGTATAAGCCCACGCATCCCAAATTGGTGGTCCTGCCTTCTGCTTCAGCCTCCTTCATCGCTGGCGCGCAGACGGGCCGGCATTGGTTGATGCTGATATCCCTTTTGGCCGGATCCTGGAAAATCTGGCAGTTCCATTGGTTGGCCAGTCGGGCATCCGAGTAGTAGCTGGATGCTTGCTCATACGTATCTCCCATGCCGCCGCCCGAAGCGGCTTCTTCGTCCTCATCGACTACGGGGACCGTACAGGTTTCTCTGGGGCAAATGCCATACTTGCAGCTGAACTTGCAAAGACGGTTGAGATCAACGTCAAACTCGTCCCAGGCGATGTACTCGGTGTCGGCGACCACAGCGGGCAGTTCCCTGAGGGGCCCAGTCTCGGTACACAGGCAGAGCGACTCCGGGCAGAAGCCCCAGGCACAGCTGTGTTCGCACAGGTCTCCGCTGTTGACGGTCAGGTCCCTCCCGCTGACGCACCCCTCCGAGCCGGTGTCACCCCGGTCTGGCGCTGCTTTCATGTCGTCTGATGTGAAGGCCTGCAAATCAAGGGCCCAATCGATGCTGCCGGCAAAGTTCATCGCTTTCCAGTCGGAGCGACGCGTGTCTTTGGTTGTCGGTGTCATGTAGCTGACGTAGTCGCCTGTTTGCGTGGAGCACTTACTGCTTAGCATCCCGTTTTGCAAAAGGAGGGGAAAGAAGAGGAAACGAGAGATCTTGGGAAGGATACTGACCGTTATAGAGTATGACATCCGTATTGGAAGCGCCGTCGTGGAATTGTTGGGTAATTGCGTTTTTCCGGATGAGCTCATTGATCTCGGCGTTCGAGATGTATCCCCCTGTCTCGGTGCATCGTCCTGGTGTCGCGTCGGATTGGGTTCTGGAGCCTGTGAAATCGCACATGGGTCCCCAACAGCCATCTTGAGCCATATGGAAAGATCTTCCATAGCTAGATTCCCCAACAAAGATCTTGTTGTTAGGGACACCCGCTTTCGTGACTGGTAGGCCAAGTCAGGTCAGCAGCAACACAACAGTTGTTTGTACCTACTTCAGCGAGAGGCACGCGTCGATGAGATAGTCGACATACTGATTGAGAGAGAGTTGCGCGTTTCGGTCAGATTGACTGGAAAGTGCAAGTCAGCAAATCAGTTTCGAGTGTCGAGCGCTGTCTTGTCCTGTATTCCGGGTTTGTCACATACCATGGCTTCGAATACATTTGCCAGACGGGCACGAGTCGAAAGCATTCACATTGCCATAGTCCCATTGGCCATGCAAATCATACTTGAGTCTGTCAGCGATCCGATCCACCTCATGATGCGCCAAGGTGTGGATGGCGAATCAGTCCGTCGCTTACCGTCATGTAAATGATTCTGTCGATGACCGCCGCAATCCTATCGATGGGAAAAGCCTTCAGGTACCAGTAAGATGCCGGGGCCGCAATCGATACCGACTTGCCGGCCCCCATCTTGCTTTTGAGCGAAGTCAGAAACCTGAGATACGCCACACCATCGCCTGCCTGACCAATCGGCTGGCCGCCAACAAAGATATCGGGAGCCTGTTGTCCTTTGGATTAGATGTGCCAGCGGGATTAGATGGGGCGAGATGTGAAAGGGATCCTGGAAGAAAGCAGCCGCACCCGCTGTCTGGAGCTCAACTTACACCTGGGTATTCCCAGTCGATATCGATACCGTCAATACCCTCTTCATCGGCAAACTTGGCTAAATTAGTCGCAAATGCCTCTCTGTTGGCAATGATGGCTGACCGGATGATGTTGTATGTTGCCGGCTCGGTAGAGTACGCCCAGCCGCCAAAGGAGAGAATTCGCTTGACCCCCTCAAGCTTTTTGAAGTCCTCCCACTGCTTGTGAGGATCGTCCACGACCGGTTTCCAGGTGTTTGGGTCAATCGAGGCAAACCCCCAGTGTATGTGCGTATAGGTGCGGTCCGTATTCACATCCTTGGCTGACATCCAGAGACAGGGGCGGTTGAAATTCCATGACTCATAGTAGCCGATCCTCTCAAAGGATGCCGGAGGCCCGGAATTCTGCTTGATCTCGTTGCCGCAGTTGGATACACATGTGCTCTGGAACCCCGGCAGCCTTGTTCCCGGACCGCCGCCGGGTGGGGCATGTATGTCGCAGTGTGCCGGGAACGGGCCGCAGAAACCCCAGTTGCTGCAGCATGCCTTGAGCGGGCAGGGGTTGAGGTCTGCGAGGGAGACTGACGGATCGGTTGGTGGCCGCGTGCCGGGGACCAGGGGCCCGCACTCGGTTCCCTGTTGCGGCGGCGGCAGCGGCGCCGTGCCAGTGCTGAGGCACATGTTGTAGCCTCCCAACATGTCCTTGCACTCAGTCCATGCCCAGGTCTTACCCTTGTTGAAACCCTCGATCTCGTCGACCGTGAGACCGTACTTGAGACCCAAACTGGCGCACGTGTCCCCATTTTCAATCAGGTGCGTTGCGCAGGTGCCGTCCGCGTTGGGCCGGGGCCGGGGCAGGTCGCCAAGAGTGCAGCACACAGACTGGCCCCTCATGAGCTTGCTGCAGTCAACCTTGGGGTTGTAAGTGGCGAAAGCAGAGCCTCTGATCCCGCACCTAGATGCAAGGCTAGTACAGGTGTCACCATCATTGACCTTGATGGTGGAACAGGTCGCGCGCTTGCCAATTACGGCCCTCCTGGCACGGAATCGATAAGCCGACGACTCTCCAATAGTTGAGTTGCTTTCGAAAGTTGAGTTTCTCTGCATGGTGCCATTACTACTGCCGCTAGCGAGGTGGAAGACCTTGATGTCGGGCGTGCCGCCCTTGACGGGGTTCAGATCCGCACCGGCCGCGCAGTTGCCCGCTTGCCAGTCGGCCGCGAGTTTCTGGACCGCGACGAGATCGCTCGAGGTGTCAACCGCGACGCCGAGAACGGCCTTAGCAGTGAGTACTCCGCTACAGAGCTGAGCAACAGTCTGATTGGCAGTCGGGCCGGCGGCCTTGAGATGCTTGACGAGAGCTGTGACGGCCGAGCCCACTGTGGGCTTGCCTAGCTCCGCGCCGATGTAGATGCTTGCGACGGTCTGCTTATGATATCCAAATAGGAACCTCTCATTGCAGTTATCTTTGGCCTCGAAGTATTTCTGCATGTCTTCCAGTAGAGAAGTGACCTCGGTGACATCTCTATTGCCGGTTGCGCCGCTTGCTGCCAGCTCCAGCCTGCCCTGAGTCTCCAGCCCGGGTGCAATGCAGGCCGGCGCGACATCAAGGCTGGGCTCAAAGAGTTTGGCCTCTTTCTTAGGGTTCTCGACTTCAGTGGCCATAGCAGAAACAGAAGACTTGTCAGCATCTCCTGTGCTGGAGCTGAGGGTGCAGCCGCGGATTAATGTGGTGGTCCGAGGATCATCAAGAGGATGCAAAACTGAAAACTGCAGTAGCATGGGCTCCTTGCAGCGCCTGAGACGGTCGACGGAGAAGTAGGTGATCCAGCTGTGCACGTTGGACAAGTCCGTACACGGGAGCGGACAGTCATGCTGGTCCGGATGATAGGTCAAGGGGTCGGCGATGGGTGAAGGGTCGCCGTCAGTCACCTGCCCGCTCACTTGATCACCGTCAGGATTGATGGCAGCACGGACAGAGACCGCCGCGGCCCAAATGAGTAGATCAAGAGATCTCAGTGTGAGCTTCATCTTTACAGCTCACAGCAAGAGAATGTTCGCATACACATGCAGCCAGTTGAGCTACGAAGGACAACCGCGGTCACCAGTTCTTATGGCGGCAGCTCCGCTTCAAAGCCAAAGCGCCAAGATCTATTCAACACGACATGTGTTCAAAGCATCGTCGGCCGGAGGGTGTGAGGGCTGTGCGAGTTGCATGGCTCCCGGCATCGCAGCCTGCCAGATAACCCGTGTGATGAAGCAGAGATCAATATCCAAACCAACAGACTTGTCCGTTGTAACGGTACATCTACTTGAGGACCGACTTTCTCTTGATCCCCTCAGCCGTCTCTTGGCGCCCCCGCCGTCGACCGGCCCCTGAAAGCTTGCACCGTACGATAGGAGTCGGTCGATGTCGGAGCAGAGGGTGTGGATGCTCTGAACTTCCCACTATCACACCTCGGCACGAACCCTTGTTCAAGACAAGACGGGGAACTGGCCAGGTGCCGCGCGCGCCACGGGCTCGTTCTGCTAACCAATAAAGGGGCTAGGATACAACGGTTGTCCGAGCGCTTAGAGCGGCCTTCAGATTTACCTTTCTTCTTTATTTCGACGACCCATGAATCCAAGCTTACCCCCTTTTCATTTTTGTTCTTCACTTGTGCGTGTATAGCACCATCTTCAAGTGTTTTGTAGCCCCTCCTGCTTGCGAGCATTTCCCCGCCCCGATTTTCGCAGATTCGAGCATCCCCGCCTCGCAACAAGCCCAAATGCCTGAGCTCGAGGACGTCTCATACTCCTTCGACGAGTGCGTTGCCGCGGTTCGCGATTATTACGCGTTCCTCGCCAAGATGTACATGGACGAATCGGAGATCGTTGACCCCCCCGAGGGGGGCTGGCCGAGCATCGTCAATGCTAAACCCGAGACCCTGGAGGGCTTTGGCAAGACCCCTGAAGTGCTAAAGCTACTGGCCCATCTGCCCTACGTGCGTGAAGCTTCTGATGGACACGATGTCAATTCGCTCCCTCAGGCTCGTTTCGCTGCCTGGCACGAGATCTTTGACTGGGTCAACCGTGATCAGAGAGAGATTGGAGCATGCAAGGAAATGACCGAGGGATGTTTCCGCCCCTTTGAGGTACCACATGCGGTGGGCCTGTCACGGGTCGACCGTTGGGAGACCACTTTGATTCTCGACACAGAGTTGGGGATCATACACTATGGAGGATGCCCAGGGCCTATTCGCCATAATCCCTCACAGGAGCCCATCTTGGATGACTTCTATGACTACGCTGATGAGGAGGACGAGGCAGACTGGCATGAGGCTGAGTGGCGTGCTGATGCTCCAGCCTTCACCATCCCGGCCTTTTTTGAGCTTCTTAAGGACCAGTTTAGGGAGCTTAAGTTCGTCCCTATCGGCCGCCGAACTGTTACAGATGTCTATGTCACCCATATCCATCCAAGCATGGAAGGCTTGATACCTATGGTGCAGGATATCTACCGTCAACACGGCTGGCCCGACCTGGACCGCTACCGTAAAGACGAGTGCATTGCGGCCGTGCAAAAGGCGATACGAGAGAAGTACCCCAGCGAACCCTGCGACTGAGGGATGTTTGGATTGTACGTTAAGACACCTATGCACGCGCGGTCAATAAAGGATGCTCGTGCAATAGAGTTGACCAAACCAAAATCTGTGACCGGGCCCCCTCAGTACAGCATTCTGGAGCAGAACGAGCCGTGTTCTCTGCGCCGCCGGTGACCTGCCAAGAATCCGACGAGCACCGAGCGGCTTGGCGGCCGGGGTTAGAAGCGTACAGGACGTTACAGCAACAGCACATTAATCTTAATTTTAAAGTCATTGATCCCTGTATTCCGGCCGGCCGGCCCCCCTCCGGATCAAGGACCCTAGCTGGAGAAACGTCCGATCAAGACTGAAGTACCAACAGAGGCTTGGCCAACTCGACAACCTATTACTATGACGCCCCGGCATCGCTCACCTCTGGCGCAGCCGTGTCTGTCTTCTGACTATCCTACTCCTCTTCTCCTCATTCTTCTCATACACTTTGGTCCTCTTTGACGACAAAGGCGACGACAATTCCCAACATGAGAGCAGCGACAGCGTTTAGGTTCTCGTTAGGCGCCATTCTTACAGCCACTGCACATGGCGCGCTCATGAAACCGCAAACGGCCCCGAGAACAGTGGTCGTCAGGGCCGAATCATCGACTCCTGCTGGTCCGACTTCTACGGAGGAGTTCGTGGACCCCTTCGTGACGCCAGATCCGTGGCCATGCGCTCTGAAGAACATCACGCAGTACTTCGATGTATCGACAGCCACCGGCGGTCTGTACGAGGCCATGACGTCGTATGGCGATAAGTTGCTCGAGCCCTGCGAGTCTACGGCTGGCCCCGACGTGCTCTGCTCTGTCACAGAGCTTTCTCAGTGGTGCGGCATGTCCACGGCGATACCGCCTGCCGTTCTCGCCGACTACTCCTCCTACGTCAGCGGTGCATACTCGTTTTGGTCGGCTAAGAGCTCCGAAGCCATGTCTGCCTCCTCTTATTGCCCGGTCTTTTGGGAGAGGCCCTCCCTCGCCGCGCACAGGTGGTTGAATCTGACCATCGCTTTCGCGGAATGCTACGCAGCCGCCAACCCAGGTATCATTACGTCTGCTACTGGTCCTTCGTCGACTAAAGCCCTCTCTGTCCCTCCAACTCCCTCCAGTACCTCGCCCACAAACAGTGTTGTCGGCCGAAGCCAGGGCATTGAGATGTGGATGCTAGCAAGCACAGGCATGGCAGCCGCGGCGGTGAATTCAGTGTTATAGTTGGATAGAGAGATACTGAGACGTAACCAACTGCGGACGTGGAGCGACTAGTTGACGTGTATTCAGACGTTGAACTATCTTGATGGATCCTGGACAGCGCGCCGTAGATATCAACAAGGTTAGAACGAAATGGTGTCGGCAGATGCAAAGAACACAATTTTGATACACACAAGAGGCATCATATTCCTATCTTCCTTGTAAAATGGAATCAGCCTTTTCAGATGAGAGAGATAGTTTACACAATCTTGACGCTGCTAAATCCCCATACCCCAAGTACATGACTGAATCATCTCACGAAACCGTCAAGGAACGGTATGAAAGAGAACCTCGGTGTGTCTACTGTTCCTCGGTTATTCGTTTCTGGGCCAGGACCACAGATGATCATCCACTCGAGTTGCACAAACACTGCCTCAGTACCTGACTTGACACTTGGCTACTAGGGACGTGGAACCAAAGCCTTGGATTTCATTTTTGACAGTCGGTCACCTGTTGGTCCCAGGAATCGTTCAGCAGCGGTAATATGCCGCATTACCAACCCCATCTCAGCAGCTTCCGGTTTTCGGTGCGATGGACTTGTGGACCGTTGACTCTGGGTCTCGCCAAGCCAATACTTGCAGACTTCACAACCAACAGTCCTCAGACTACAGAACCAACAGTCACAATATTACATCCAGACCAAGTTAGATTGTCCGTGGAGAGTTGTAGCAATCCAACGCCGGATAGGTTTAATTTAACTTTTCCTCTTTCTTGTACCTGTACATCACATGGAGACAAGCTTGAAGAAGATTGCTCGGAAAGGCCAAGTCTAGAGCGGCATGACTACACTTCACGACAAGCAACAAGCAGAGGAGGATCTACAAAAGCACAACCAAGACCGCATTCAGGCGCTGCTATAGTGTCGGTGTTTACAGACCGTCAGGAGCTTCAAGTGAGACCACAAGACCAGTCAAGTGCAGATCATGACCATAATGGCTTCTATCCTTCCCCTTATCCTGCTCGCCGCTGGTTTCATCCAATCTATTCATGGCGTAGCGCTTCATATTGCGCGTGATGGAGCAAGCCCGTCCCTAATATCTGACCCAAATACTACACCCTACTGCACCTGGTGGATCGACTTGAGTACATCTCAGTCCTGCACTCAGATCCTCTCAGACAACCTCATTACCCTAGAGATGTTTCGAAGATGGGTGAGTGATCTGAGCAGCATCAGGCAGGAGAGGACTATTGCTTCGCACGTAGAGGTTCATATAGATCACGGGCTGATTGCACTTACAGAACCCCTCTATCACAGCCGACTGTGGCAATCTGCTTATTGGCCACTCCTACTGTGTTGAGGCTTACTACGAGCCCGTTACAACTACCGCTCCTCCCATCACGAGCGTCCCAAGTCCAACAAGCACAGTGAAGCCAACGACGACTGTTCCTAGCAATGGAATCAGCACGCCGCTTCCCTTTCAAGCCGGCATGGTGAACAATTGCAATAAGTTTCACTTTGTTGAGAATGGGCAGACCTGCACAGTCATTGCTTCCCTCTACTCCATCAGCAGCGCCCAATTCATCGCGTGGAACACTGACGCCAAGTCCGACTGTACAGGTCTCTGGGCCCAGACGGTGCGTAACGGCCAGGTCCCCATCCCTGAGAGAAACAACCATGATGTGAAAAAAGCTAATCCATGGTCTCATTCTTTTCCAGTATGCATGTGTTGGTGTTATCGGTGGCGCGACGCCGACAACCACGCCTGGTAACGGCATATCCACGCCAGTTCCCACACAGCCTGGCATGGTTTCCAACTGCGATGCCTTCTACTACGTCGTTTCTGGAGATACCTGCGCCACCATCGCCTCCAAGTCGGGCATATCCGTCTCACAGTTCGTCTCATGGAACCCGAGCGTGGGCAACGCCTGCTCCGGCCTGTGGCTCGATGCCTACGTCTGCATCTCCATCATTGGCCATGAACCTTCGCCGACAGCCCCTGGCAACGGCGTCGCCACCCCGACGCCTATCCAGGACGGCATGACCAAGAGCTGCAAGACCTTCCACTTTGTCAAGTCCGGAGAGACCTGTGCAATTATTGCCGCCAAGTACGGCATCACCAGCACACAGTTCATCTCCTGGAACCCGGCCGTCGGTCCATCTTGCAACGGAATGTGGGCCAATACCTACGCCTGCGTAGCAGTCCTGTAAACGTACCTTAATGCCTCAGCTCTTTGTTCAATAACAAGGGCTTGAATTTAATTAATAGACCTATGAAGGAATTCGGGTCTGTTTGCCCAGCTCTTCCTGACCTTCAGTCTCTGGCCTGATGTTCTCCTTGGCATCGCTGATATGCTTTTTGACCTTCCCGTTGCGGAGGTTGCGGGCTCTCCTTTTCATTTGGTTTCTTTTTTCTTTCTGGGCCACCCAAGGGCAAAGTCCCTGTTCTCCGTACGAACGGCGAGCCGGCCGCGCCATACACATGAGCAGCTGACCTTACTGCCAATGCAGCCATAATCCCGCCCTTCTATTCAACATACCTTGCCATATATCGACGCAAACGTTCTGTCGTCGAGACGAGGAGGGTGGACGATCACAGGAGCTTCATTCGTGCTCCCTTCTCTCCTTTCACGATGGGCCCAGTTATCCATGAAGGCAAGCTTTATCTCCGTTAGCAATCTTTTGATCTGAGCTGAGTCGTGCCTGCTAGTTCTAGCTCGCCCCCTTCCACTACATGCTTGAATGGGGAAGATGAGAGTCAAAAGCCATCAGCCTGAAGGGCCTTACTCTGCTCTTCTGCCTTCCTTTGCTACCCACGTCACTCTCTGGAGGAGAGCTTGAAGATGGAATGCCTCGAAATGATTGGCCTCCCAATCGCGGACACAGCTCGTGCAGTTCTCCAACGAGGCACGGAATGGCAGTGCGAGTATCAGAGAGAACAAGTTTGAATATCCTCATCAGCGACAACCCTGCCCATGTCAGTATCCGTTGTTGTATTCCCTCAAATTCCTCTCTGCAAGGCTTCTTGATGCAAAGTTCCAGCTCCCTACGTTGGACCTCTGGAACTCACAAGTGCAAGTACGTACCTACATAATCTACCTAACCACTGAGCTACCCAATGCGTGTAGGTGCGGCGACATTGACCTGGTAAGGGGTCGTTGTAACACTTGTTGTTGCAATGATATACGAGACGTGGTCGTAATTACTCTCGCATCTCCCGGGTCATGCACATGAGAAGATTTTAAGTGAGGGCTTGCATCGCGTATAAACCATGTATTGCACAAAGCCATTCCGCTTTCTATGCC